TACGACGGGGAGGTTTCGGATTGAAATTATTTTAATTATTTAATTCTTAGGGGGCGGGGAGGGTGGTTCCCCCCTCTTTTCGGATTTAAACTATTTAAACTATATAAGTTATTTACATTATTTGAACTATTTAAATTGTTTAAATTATGTAATTTTTTTAATCAAAGCTTTTTATAACTCCCTTGTCTCTCCCTAATTAGAAAAAGCCAATCTTGCTATTCACAGATAGGTGCCCTTCTTCCTCTTCAGGAAATCGCCTTTCCCTTATTTTGCGTTTTGAAGCGACTAAGAAAAACAACAGATACGAAGAGAGGACAGGGAATGACTAAGTAAAGAGAGGAGCTCTTCAATGTCCCTCCCTTTTTCTTATGTTACTTTTCCTTCTTGGGGGGTCCTTTTTCCCCCTTGAAGATGCAGAAAACGATCAAAAAGGACACCCGTTCCATCGCCCATATATAGGGAGACAGAGAAATCATGAGCATCAGCTGGGTTTGCTGCACCACTCAAAACTTCTCAAGTGACCTAGGCGCACTCTGCGCCTATCAGAGTACATTACAAGTACATAGGCGCACTCTGCGCCTATCAGAGTACATTACAAGTACAAGTGCAAGTACAAGCCTTCGTTTTTGATGTAGAGGGCACGAAAGGTGGAGGAGGGCTGGGGGGGGTGGGGTAAAAGAATTATATAAAACCACTTATAAGGTTTATACAGTTTATGAAGTGGGCTCTTTTTTTCTCCTTTGGCTAATTTTGGGCAACATTTGCCCTTTGGGCCCAATTCGGCCTCAAAAAAACGGCCCCAAAGGGCCCAACAATGGGAAACGTGCGGCTGGATTTGGCCAAATTTTGCCGGACAGTCTGCGGGCAAAATTTGGCCAAATCGAGCTGCTCGTCGTACGCGATGAGAAATGCGCGGCTCGATTTGGCCAAATTTTGCCGGGCAGCCTCCGGGCAAAATTTGGCCAAATCGGGCTGCTCTTCGTAGGCGATGAGAAAGGTGCGGCTCGATTTGGCCAAATTTTGCCGGGCAACTTTCGGGCAAAATTTGGCCAAATCAGGCTCTTCGTACGCGATGAGAAAGGCGCGGCTCGATTTGGCCAAATTTTGCCGGGCAGCTTTCGGGCAAAATTTGGCCAAATCGGGCTGCGCTTCGTAGGCGATGAGAAATGCGCGGCTCGATTTGGCCAAATTTTGCCGAGCAGCTTTCGGGCAAAATTTGGCCAAATCGGGCTGCTCTTCGTAGGCGATGAGAAATGCGCGGCTCGATTTGGCCAAATTTTGCCGAGCAGCTTTCGGGCAAAATTTGGCCAAATCGGGCTGCTCTTCGTAGGCGATGAGAAAGGCGCGGCTCGATTTGGCCAAATTTTGCCGGGCAGCCTTCGGGCAAAATTTGGCCAAATCGGGCAGCTCTTCGTATGCGATGAGAAATGCGCGGCTCGATTTGGCCAAGTTTTGCCCGGAGCTTCCCCCCCTTCCAAGAATTTAATAATGATTAATTTAAGTACGACGGGGAGGTTTCGGATTGAAATTATTTTAATTATTTAATTCTTAGGGGGCGGGGAGGGTGGTTCCCCCCTCTTTTCGGATTTAAACTATTTAAACTATATAAGTTATTTACATTATTTGAACTATTTAAATTGTTTAAATTATGTAATTTTTTTAATCAAAGCTTTTTATAACTCCCTTGTCTCTCCCTAATTAGAAAAAGCCAATCTTGCTATTCACAGATAGGTGCCCTTCTTCCTCTTCAGGAAATCGCCTTTCCCTTATTTTGCGTTTTGAAGCGACTAAGAAAAACAACAGATACGAAGAGAGGACAGGGAATGACTAAGTAAAGAGAGGAGCTCTTCAATGTCCCTCCCTTTTTCTTATGTTACTTTTCCTTCTTGGGGGGTCCTTTTTCTCCATTCAAGATGCAGAAAACGATCAAAAAGGACACCCGTTCCATCGCCCATATATAGGGAGACAGAGAAATCATGAGCATCAGCTGGGTTTGCTGCACCACTCAAAACTTCTCAAGTGACCTAGGCACACTCTGCGCCTATCAGAGTACATTACAAGTACAAGTGCAAGTACAAGCCTTCGTTTTTGAGGTAGAGGGCACGAAAGGTGGAGGAGGGCTGGGGGGGTGGGGTAAAAGAATTAATCGTTTAAATTAATTTAATTGTGGTGGGAGGTGAGTACAGACAGGCACAATTTAATTGTGGGGGGACTCAGCCAAGCCATAAACCAATTAAATCATTTAAATCCTACGGTCTAATTAAATTATTTAATTGAGGCGTCGGATTTAAATAATTTAATTGGCTCTGTGCCTGTCTGTACTCACCTCCCACCACAATTAAATTAATTTAAACGATTTAAACGATTTAAACGATTTAAACGATTTAATTGGGTCCAATTAAATCGTTTAAATCCGACGCCTCAATTAAAATAAATTTAATTCGACCGTAGGATTTAAACGATTTAATTGGGTCCAATTAAATCGTTTAAATCCGACGCCTCAATTAAATAATTTAATTGGACCGTAGGATTTAAACGATTTAGTTGGGCCCAATTAAATCGTTTAAATCGTTTAAATCGTTTAAATCGTTTAAATCGTGTAAATCGTTTAAATTAATTTAATTGTGGTGGGAGGTGAATACAGACAGGCACAGAGCCAATTAAATTATTTAAATCCGACGCCTCAATTAAATAATTTAATTAGACCGTAGGATTTAAATGATTTAATTGGTTTATGGCTTGGCTGAGTCCCCCCACAATTAAATGAATTTAAACGATTTAAACGATTTAAACGATTTAAACGATTTAATTGGGTCCAATTAAATCGTTTAAATCCGACGCCTCAATTAAATAATTTAATTCGACCGTAGGATTTAAACGATTTAATTGGGTCCAAATAATCGTTTAAATCCGACGCCTCAATTAAATAATTTAATTGGACCGTAGGATTTAAACGATTTAATTGGGCCCAATTAAATCGTTTAAATCGTCTAAATCGTTTAAATCGTTTAAATTAATTTAATTGTGGTGGGAGGTGAGTACAGACAGGCACAGAGCCAATTAAATTATTTAAATCCGACGCCTCAATTAAATAATTTAATTAGACCGATTTAATTGGTTTATGGCTTGGCTGAGTCCCCCCACAATTAAATTAATTTAAACGATTTAAACGATTTAAACGATTTAAACGATTTAATTGGGTCCAATTAAATCGTTTAAATCCGACGCCTCAATTAAATAATTTAATAGACCGTAGGATTTAAACGATTTAATTGGGTCCAATTAAATCGTTTAAATCCGACGCCTCAATTAAATAATTTAATTCGACCGTAGGATTTAAACAATTTAATTGGGCCCAATTAAATCGTTTAAATCCGACGCCTCAATTAAATAATTTAATTGGACCGTAGGATTTAAACGATGTAATTGGACCCAATTAAATCGTTTAAATCGTTTAAATCGTTTAAATTAATTTAATTGTGGTGGGAGGTGAGTATAGACAAGCACAGAGCCAATTAAATTATTTAAATCCGGCGCCTTACTTATTCAAAAAAATAGGGCGTAGGATTTAAATAATTTAATTAAGCTCTCTCTATTTAAATAGTTTAATTTATTTGAATAAATTAAATTATTTTCTGCTTATTAAAAAAAGGAATGAGCTAAATAGACCCTAAAGGCTGCTCTTTCATATATATATATATACTGCATATTGCATATACATACGCACATATATAAACATGCGTGTGAATATATACATGCATATCAATATGTAGATATGTAAATGTGTAAAGATGTAATTATGTAAATATGTAAAGATGTAAATCTGTAAGTCTGTAAGTCTGTAAACCTGTAATTCTGTAAATATGAAATTTGTAAATATGTAAATATGTAAATATGTAAATATGTAAATATTTGTAAATATTTGTAAATATTTGTAAATATTCGTAAATATTTGTAAATATTTGTAAATAAGTATGTAAATGTGTAGGTATGTACATACGTAAATAAGAAATATGTAAATATGTAAATATGTAAATATGTAAATATGTAAATATGCAAATATGTAAATATGTAAGTATGTAAATATGTAAATGTGTAAATATGTAAATATGCAAATATGTAAATATGTAAATATGTTAATATGTACATATGTAAGTATGTAAACATGTAAGTATGTAAATATGTATATAAATATGCAAATATGCAAACATGCATACATGCATATAGGCATATCTGTGAATATATTTATATGTACATGTGTACATGTGTACATATGTATATATGTTTGTATCTACATTCGTGCATACTCATTTTGTGTACATGTATATATGTTTGTCTGTACGTATGTGTGTATGTCAGTAAGTATGTATGAAGTTCGCCTTTTATAGGCTTATGTGCCTGTTTATGCACATGTGTATGTATGTATGTGTGTGTGTATGTATGTATGTATGTATGTATGTATGTATGTATGTATGTATGTATGTATGTATGTGTGTATACATTTTGTATATATATATATATGCGTGTTGGATATGTGGCATCAATGTCTTTCTGTATTTATGCATACCCATGCTGATGTACATATCTGTACAGAGAGGCATATATATATATACACATGTATCTATGTTTTTGTATTACTACTTTCATCATATGTATCTTTATATACTTCGGTCGCAGTATGCACGTAGGAAGGAAGGACGGATGGGTCAGATACATCCCTATGCATATTCATATATTTTATATACACACATGCGTTTATGTAAAGCAGATGCGGCGAGGCCTGAGTATGTACAGTGCAGATCTGCGGTTGACTCGACCAGGTCTTGTTGAGGCTACTGTTCTGTGATGAAGTGTCATGTTCCATGCAGTGAGTGAGACTATGCACATGCAGCAAGACGAGCATTGAGAAAGTAACCTTCCGTACGGTCACCGTTGCAATAATACCATACTACTCCTTGCATACACTTTTGGATCGTTGAGGTGATGATATCGACATTCGCATGACGAATCTGGCCAACCAGATCTTGAATGGCATCTTCCAAAACGTGTGCAGAGGCATCGTGAGTGGGCTTGCGTTCGCAGTAGATGCCTGTGCCGGCTGCGGGTTCGCATAGAGAGGCCTCTTCGAGGACAACAAGTTGACATGCTCCTTCCTCATCGCCACGGCGCTGCAGCGTCACGCTGGCGAGATCACAGCGAAGGAATGGTCCTTGCTGCTGAGGCCTGCAGCAGACATGAGCAGAAGGGGGGCGAGGGTTGTTGAATGCTTTGTGAAGCGTGCTCCGCTCAGCAGATGGCACCAGGGAAACTTGAATGAGAGTGATAAGCAGAGAGCGCTAGAGAGCGCATACGATGGCTTTCCAGGGGCTTGGGTCTCCTGGACATGACGCAGAAGCCACCGAACCCGGATCCGGATTTCTTCACCGAGAAGATGTGGGACTATGCTCTCCGGCTGCACTTGGGTACACGCGCTCAAGATCTTGCAAGTACAGCTCGGCAGAGGAAGTTGCAACACCGCATGACGGCATTCGATCTGTCGAAAATAGGCCGCTTGAGGGTACGTACCCCTAGCTGATTCTAAAGTGGTTGACGCAGAGACTCAGATGCTCGCACGTGTGGGCCAATAACCTGTGCGACTGAGATGTATGGCATCCAGCAATGCTCTCCGGAGCGCTGCCCGGATCTTTGTCAACACATGGCAGACAATGTGGAGGCATGGAAGGAATGGGCCAGGACCTCAGTTTCGAAGCAAGCTTGACTAATAATGTTGCACCCTGTTTAGTGTGGGGGCCCCCCCCCCCCCCTGAACAGTCGAGGCGTGGATGGGAGCCTGATTACACGGCCCCCGGGGCTCATATGATTTTAATAGGGAGGAGTTTGGATAGGTTCAAAAGGGGCAGCGATGCCCGGTTATCTTTTTTAAAGGCGCGCCACGTGGAATTTTCTTACGGCGCCCGGACGATTTGTCTTTAAAGAGGGACTCCCAAACAGTCAGCATGTCCTGAATAATTCGGCCAGTTTGTCTTTAAAGAGGGGGCTAATACTAAACCGGGTGCAACATTATGGGGTTGTGTTTCTGGTCCGAGCCATCGCGAGGTTCGCCATGACACACCTCATCTGCAGAAGCTGCCGGCAGACTACGACGATTCTGGGTGGCATCTGTGAGGGTGTACGGAGTGCTGCAGACAAAGGCCCTCTGCATCAAAACTGAGTGAACAGGGGGTCCAGTGGCTTCACTGTGATGTGGGACGTCCCAAGGAGCTGAATCAGCTGCACTACTTCCACTACCTCCTGCTTCTGAAGGCCAAGCAAACAAGTGCGCGCCGTTTTTCCCCTCCCTAGTATGAGAGCTTCAGCACTTCGAAGCTGACACCATATTTCCGGGTTCTCCACTGCTGTGTGCGACGACTTCCCTCCTGCCGTTGAGTGCCCTTATTCCACAGATTTGTCAACCCCAAGATTGGGAAAGGTTTAGTCGCTAGACACACATGCTAGGCCAATCCAGGGTTCCAAAAGCTGCAAAGCTCAGCTTGTACGAATCGTAAATTCCGAAATGCCAAGAGGACCTGGAACTTCCCCACTGGCCAGGACTCCATACAACAGACCCAAAGCGCAACTGCATCCTGGGCCCAAGCAACAGCCTAGACGAACCCTCCCCTCCACTTGCTTGGGTCCTCCAACTGTTGTGTTCTGGCAGGGCCTGGCGCAGGAAAAGCTGCTCGTGGCGATTCAAGAGCATACCCGAAGGCCGTGCTTCACCATAAGCCGGCCCAATGAAGATAGACGCGCGGCTTTTGCGGTCTTCACAAGTCCCTCATCCCCTGCAGTTGCCAGTCATAGTGACTGGAAACAATGCTTCCGCCTTGCTGAGTCTCGTCAAATCATATCTCATGAATCTTGATGCATGCTTGGGTGGTACTTGTGCAGGTGCCTCGGGGAGAACTTCATCATCTTCCCCACAGCCACAGCTTCTCGCCAAGAAGAGACCTTGTGTTGCCCGATGGGTGTCTGTCAGAGTTGTGCGTTTGCGTCCGGGCGGGGTGGCTGTAGTCTGCAGTCCCAAAATGGATAGACCGAGAAGCTTCTTGCAAAAGCCCACACACGGACTCCAGCACTCTTGCAGCAGTGACACTGCTCCTATTTCACAGGCATCTGATAGCATATCTTCCGTCAGCACATGTGGGGGCCAGCGCTAGCAGCATGTAAACCGGATGCAAACAAGTCCTCACCAGGGTTGTTTCAGGAGGGCGAGGCTCGCACTTGCACCTGTTAAAACGGATGCGCTGTGCTTTTGTGGCACACAGCTGTCGGCAGAGAGCCTGGAAGGGGGATTTGAGCGAGAAAAGGAAGGTTCGCCCCCTTGAGTATGTTGGGGGTTCTGGGGAGGGTCTGCACCTATTTCCATGTTTGAGATCTCTTGAAATTTCAAAGGACGTTCCCCCAAACCATTCCAGCTTCAGCTTTGAAAAGTAACCACCTCGTTTGTGGAGGGGTTCACGCCCCCCTCCTCCCCAGAAGACACTAGCGATGTTAATCAGCATTGCTTACAACCGAGTGGTATCGGTACTTCGGCTGGTCAAATATGATCTGTCCATATGCTTTGCATAGAGGTGGCGGAGCTCTACGCGGACTCGACACGCAGCACACCAATTGTCCGATGCCTTGCCTCGTTGCAGCTCCGCACTGGTATCGAACCACACTCCGTTCAAGCAAGCCTGTATGCGTAAGTGCATCATCGTCCCTCCGCTGCTAAAGGGCACATTTCTTCCACGTTCGCGAAGAGGCTGAAGTAGCGCGCTATTTCAGGTCTTTGTGTTGTCTACCGGTGCGGACCCGACATCCATGCTGGCAGCTGAGCTTCGCCATGCTGAAACTGCCGTATTGACAGGCATGTCCCGATATTGGAAAGAGCACCAAGAACCAAATGTAGGGAGAGACCTGTTATAAGCATGGGAGCCTTGACTCCCCAAAGCTTGGATTTGGAGTCGCAAACCAGAAGAGGAGAAAGAGGAGGAGAAGAAGAGCCAAGAACCACCGAATGCGAGTTAGGGAGAGCAGAGTACCAGAACACCAGAAAGAATTGTCTTCAGGGCGAAGCAGAGCATGAGCAGCCAAGTTCGGCTGCAGCTGAAAGTGCTGGAACGTGATCATCTCGTCGTCTTGGCGCCCAGGTTGCTGCGCTTTGCCCAGGAGCTGGACATGGTGGCCGCCTCGAAAGGGAGGCTGAAACCCATCCCTACAAACCAAGGGGCAAGGGGGGTTTAGGGTTTAGGGTCTTTTTAGGGTTTCGGGTTTGTGGGACCTGCAAGTGGTTTGAGAGTTGAGGCCTCGACCATGGGCGTGATTTCCCTTGGCCAGGGCCAGGGGCCGAAGGCCTCCGTCTGGCGTTCGCCATGCGTTTCATCACGCGTTCCAGACCTGCCTGGTACCCTAAACCCTGAACCCTAAGCCCTAAACCCTGAACCCTGGCATTCTTGCGGTCATGTGGATCTCCCTTGCTTTGCTAGTTCTCACCAGCGCAAATCTGCACATCATGTCTTTATGCATTGCGAGTCGATCTCAGGGTCTTTTATCGCAATCATGCCACGGTGCACAAGAAGCTTGAAGACAAGCTCTGGCTCCATGACTCCATGGCCAGCTCAGCTTCCTGAACCCTAAAGCCTAAAGCCTCAAGCCTCAAGCCTAAAGCCTAAAGCCTAAAGCCTAAAGCCTAAACCCTAAACCCTAAACCCTATTGCGCTCGTCAGAGCCAGGCGATAAAGATGGTCGACGAGGCGTGCAAGAAGGGCACCTGGGTGCTCCTCCAGAATTGCCATCTGTACAAGCAACTCGGAAGGCACCAAGACCCTAAACCCTAAACCCTAAACCCTAAACCCTAAACCCTAAACCCTAAACCCTAAACCCTAAACCCTAAACCCTAAACCCTAAACCCTAAACCCTCAGCTTGTGAGACCGCGGAACCACATGTGGGCCAAACCTAAGACAAGGAAAGAAGGGAGCCAGAACTGAGCAGCGAAAACACAGGACCCTTGAGTCCGCCTAAAGAACATTCTAAGCCCTTTCAAGACTTACTAGCCCCTAAGCTCTACAGAAGCCCATTAAACTATAAGCCCAAAACCCCAAAACCTGAAGCCTTGCACTCTCTGCCCCTAAGTCGTATGCCCTGAAAACCCCAACCCTAAACAGCGGCTCGGAGACTTTTCCCTGACAACCTAGAGAGCCATCCTAGTTGTCTTTCGAGTCTGTAGGGGTTAAGGGGTTGGAGACTTGGGGGTGCTAGGTAGGTAGCCATCCTACTGAACCCACCAGCACTTTATCAGTGCTCGTAGAGAAAACGCCCCCCCCCCCCCTCCCCTCCCCCCCCCTCCCCCCGCCCCTGCCCCCCCCCCTCCCCCCCCCTCCCCCCCCCCTCCTCCGCCCCCCCCCCCGTGGGTGGCTTAAATAGGGTCTATTTGGAAGCTGAGACTCGGGTTTTTAGACTAACCAATGCGTCTCCACGAGAGTATTCTTGGAAGCTGAGAGTGGTGTTTTTGTGTGGTAGATACAAAGGAAAGGGCATAAGAAAGTAGCGAAAGGAGCTCCTCAATTCCCTTCCTTATCTCCTATGCTCTTTTCTGTATTCATTGCAACAGGAGAATACAGGAAAAGGGCCTCCATTCCCCTCTTGTTCTTCCTTTCTTGTGTTTTTGTCATTTAAAGGGGAACAGGAGAAGAGAAGGGAAAGAGAAGGAGAGAGGAGAGATAAAAGGAAGACAATTTTAATGGGAAGAGCCAAGAAAAGAATAGAAAAGAGAGATGAACAAAGAAGATGGAGAGACAAAAACAAGGCGCAAAGAAAATGGCACTCTTCTTTATCTATCCTCTCTCCCTTCTCTCTCCCTTCCCTCTTTCTTTTCGAAACAGAAAAACGAAAAAGGAAGAACTTGAAAAGGAGAAGGGTAAGGAAAAGAGCAGAAGAGACAGGCCGAAAAGAGGGATATGATGAAGTATGGGCAAGGTCCACGCGCAAGGAGTCACTCTCTGCTTACCCTTCCACTGCTTTATCATACAAGTTCCTTTCTTGTGTTATATTAGTTAAAAGGTAACAGAAGGAGAGAAGGGCAAGGGAAGTGAGAGAGGAGAGACAACAAGGAGGCCATTTGAATTTTCTGGAGGGGTGCTGAAAAGAAGAGAAGACACAATAAACAAGGAGACGGATAGCACTCTTCTTTATCTATCATCTTTCCCTTCCTTGTCTCTCGCTTTTCCCTCTATAATTAAAAAAATAGGTGCCCTCTCTCCTCTTCAGGAACCCCCCTTGCCCTTATTTTGCTAGCTTTCTGAAACGACAAGGAAAACAACACATAGAAAGAGAGGAAAGGGAATGAAACAATAGGCAGTGGAGCTCTTCAGTGTCTTTACCTATCTCTTTTCTTCTTTTTCTTTTTAATTCAATAAGGAAAAGAAGCTTCCTTTGGTGTGATTTTGAGATTCAAAAGAGAACAAGAGAAGAGAAGGGAGAGAGAAAGGAGAGAGGAGAGATCAAAAGGAAACAATTTTCATGGGAAGAGCAATGAAAATCATGGAAGAGGAATGAAGACAGGAGAGGGAGGTGCAAAATCAGGCAAAGAGAAGATGGTGCTCGTTTCTTCTTTCCTCTCTTTCTTATCTTTCCCTTTTAAATAAAAAACAAAAGGAACCCATTTTCTTTTTCCGTTTGGGAACAAGGAAAAGAACAGAGGCGATAGGGCGAGAGGAGGGATTTGCTGCAGCGTGGGGAGGGTCTACGGACAAGGAGCCAACCCCGCTCACTTTCCCCATCCATTGGAAAAGAAAGGAACATGGCCTCCATTCCCCTCTTGTTCTTCCTTTCTTGCGTTTTTGTCATTTAAAGGGGAACAGGAGAAGAGAAGGGAGAGAGAAGGAGAGAGGAGAGACAAAAGGATTGCATTGTTAATGGGAAGAGCAAAGAAAAGAATAGAAGAGAGATGAATAGAGAAGAGGGAGAGACAAAACAAGGCGCAGAGAAGATGGCACTCACTCTTTATCTATCCTCTCTTCCTTATCTCTCCCTGCCATCTTTCTTTTCGAAATAAGAAAACAAAAAGGAAGAACTATGAGAAGGAGAAGGGTAAGGAAAGGAACAGAAGAGATAGGCCGAGAGGAGGGGTATGATGAAGTATGGACCGGTCCACGCGCCAGGAGTCACCCTCTGCTTACCCTTCCACTGCCTTATCATACAAGTTCCTTTCTTGTGGTTTATCAGTCAGAAGGAAACAGAAGGAGAGAAGGGAAAGGGAAGTGAGAGGAGATAACAAGGATGCCATTTTTCTGGAAGCGCAACTGTGCCGGAATGTGGCCACAACAAGCAGGCCAGGGAGGCTCAGGCGGGGCAAGTCTCTCCCTAATAAGAAAAAATCAACCTTGCTATTCACAGGTAGGCGCCCTTCTTCCTCTTCAGGAAATCGCCTTTCCCTTATTTTGTTATTTTGCTTTTTGAAGCGAATAAGAAAGACAACAAATAAGAAGAGAGGACAGGGAATGACTAGGTAAAGAGAGGAGCTTTTCAATTTCCTCCCTATCTCTTATGTTACTTTTCCTTCTTGGGCGGGTGTCCTTTTTTCTTCCTTGAAGATGCAGAAAACTATCAAAAAGGACACCCGTTCCATCGCCCACAATTCCCTTCCTTATCTCCTATGCTCTTTTCCTTATTCATTGCAACAGGAGAATTCAGGAAAAGGGCCTCCATTCCTCTCTTGTTCTTCCTTTCTCGTGTTTTTGTCATTTAAAGGGGAACAGGAGAAGAGAAGGGAAAGAGAAGGAGAGAGGAAAGATAAACGGAACACAATTCTAATGGGAAGAGCCAAGAAAAGAATAGAAAAGAGAGATGAACAAAGAAGATGGAGAGACAAAACAAGGCGCAAAGAAAATGGCACTCTTCTTTATCTATCCTCTCTCCCTTCTCTCTCCCTTCCCTCTTTCTTTTCGAAACAGAAAAACGAAAAAGGAAGAACTTGAAAAGGAGAAGGGTAAGGAAAAGAGCAGAAGAGACAGGCCGAAAAGAGGAATATGATGAACTGAAAAGAAGAGAAGACACAAGAAACAAGGAGACGGATAGCACTCTTCTTTATCTATCATCTGTCCCTTCCTTGTCTCTCGCTTTTCCCTCTATAATTAAAAAAATAGGTGCCCTCTCTCCTCTTCAGGAAGCCCCCTTGCCCTTATTTTGCTAGCTTTCTGAAACGACAAGGAAAACAACACATAGAAAGAGAGGAAAGGAATGAAACAATAGGCAGTGGAGCTCTTCAGTGTCTTTACCTATCTCTTTTCTTCTTTTTCTTTTTCATTCAATAAGGAAAAGAAGCTTCCTTTGGTGTGATTTTGAGATTTAAAAGAGAACAAGAGAAGAGAAGGGAGACCCGGGCTCGTAATTTAGTATTGAGGGGGAGGCCCGGGCTCGTGATTTAGTATCGGGGAATTTAAAAAATCAATTTCATTTCAATGTCAAGGGGCCCGATTTGGCCAAATCTTGCCGGGCAAAATTTGGCCAAATCGAGCCGCGCATTTCTCATCGCGTACGACGAGCAGCCCGATTTGGCCAAATTTTGCCCGCAGACTGCCCGGCAAAATTTGGCCAAATCGAGCCGCGATAGTTTAAATAATTTCGGGCCTCCAGAAAGGCGCGGCTCGATTTGGCCAAATTTTGCCGGGCAGCCTCCGGGCAAAATTTGGCCAAATCGGGCTGCCCTTCGTATGCGATGAGAAATGCGCGGCTCGATTTGGCCAAATCTTGCCCGGAGGCTGCCCGGCAAAATTTGGCCAAATCGAGCCGCGCCTTTCTGGAGGCCCGAAATTATTTAAACTATCGCGGCTCGATTTGGCCAAATTTTGCCGGGCAGCCTCCGGGCAAAATTTGGCACCCCCTCCCCTTTTCGGATTTAAATTATTTAAATTATTTAAATTATGTAATTCCAGGGGGGAATTAAATAATTTAAATAATTTAAATCTGAAAGGGGGGATTCGGATTTAAATTATGTAAACTATTTAATTCCCCCCGGAATTGAATAATTTATATAATTTATATAACTTATATAATTTAAATAATTTAAATAATTTAAATCCGAAAAGGGGGGGGGGCCAGGCCCGACCAGGCCCCCCCCTCCCAGAATCAAATAATTTAAATAATTTAACTCCGAAAGGGCCAGGCCCCACCAGGCCCCCTCCCCCTCCCAGAATTAAATAATTTAAATAATTTAAATCCGAAAGGGGTGTTCAGGATTCAAATTATTTAAATTATTTAATTCTGGGAGAGGGAGGGGGCCCGGTGGGGCCTGGCCCCCCCCTTTTCGGATTTAAATTATTTAAATTATTTAAATTATTTAAATTATTTAAATTATTTAATTCCAGGGGGGAATTAAATAATTTAAATAATTTAAATCTGAAAGGGGGGGTTCGGATTTAAATTATTTAAATTATTTAATTCCCCCCCCCGGAATTAAATAATTTATATAATTTAAATAATTTAAAAAAATTGAATAATTTAAATCCGAAAGGGGGGGGGGGGGGCAGGCCCCACCCGGCCCCCTCCCCCTCCCAGAATTAAATTATTTTAATTCTGGGAGAGGGGGGGGGGCCCGGTGGGGCCTGGCCCCCCCTCTTTTCGGATTTAAATTATTTCAATTATTTAAATTATTTAAAATATTTAATTATTTAACTCCAGGGAGGAATTAAATAGTTTAAATAATTTCAATCTGAAAGGGGGGGTTCGGATTTAAATTATTTAAATGATTTAATTCCCCCCCCGGAATTAAATAATGTAAATAATTTAAATATTTTAAATAATTTACATAATTTAAATAATATAAAATATTTTAATCCGAAAAGAGGGGGGGGGGCAGGCCCCGCCAGGCCCCCTCCCCCTCCCAGAATTAAATAATTTAAATAATATAAATCCGAAAGGGGTGTTCAGGATATAATTTATATAATTTAAATACGAAAGGGGTGTTCAGGATTTAAATTATTTAAATTATTTAATTCTGGGAGGGGGAGGGGGCCCGGTGGGGCCTGGCCCCCCCCCCCTTTTCGGATTTAAATTATTTAAATTATTTAAATTATTTAAATTATTTAAATTATTTAAATTATTTAAATTATTTAAATTATTTAAATTATTTAAATGCAGGGGGGGAATTAAATAATTTAAATAATTTAAATCTGAAAAGGGGGGTTCGGATTTAAATTATTTAAATTGTTTAATTCCCCCCCGGAATTAAATAATTTAAATAATCTAAATAACAAATAAGTTAAATAATAAATCCGAAAAGGGGGGGGGGAGCAGCAGGACCAGGCCCCCTCCCCCTCCCAGAATTAAATAATTTAAATAATTTAAATCCGAAAGGGGTGTTCAGGATTTAAATTATTTAAATATTTAATTCTGGGAGGGGGAGGGGGCCTGGCCCCCCCCCCTTTTCGGATTATTTAAATTATTTAAATTATTTATATTATTTAAATTATTTAAATTTTTAAATTATAATTCCAGGGGGGGAATTAAATAATTTAAATAATTTAAATCTGAAAGGGGGGGTTCGGATTTAAATTATTTAATTCCCCCCCCCGGAAATAAATAATTTAAATAATTTAAATCATTTAAATAATTTAAATCCGAAAAGGGGGGGGGGCCAGGCCCCCTCCTCCTCCCAGAATTAAATAATTTAAAGAATTTAAATCCGAAAGGGGTGTTCAGGATTTAAATTTTTTGAATTATTTAATTCTGGGAGAGGGAGGGGGCCCGGTGCCCCCCCTTTTCGGATTTAAATTATTTAAATTTTTTAAATTATTTAAATTGTTTAAATTATTTAATTCCAGGGGGGAATTAAATACTTTAAATAATTTAAATCTGAAAGGGGGGGTTCGGATTTAAATTATTTAAATTATCTAATTCCCCCCCCCCCCCGGATTATTAATTTAAATAATTTAAATAATTTAAATAGTTTAAATAATTTAAAAAATGTAAACAATTTAAATCCGAAAAGGGGGGGGGGGCCAGGCCCCACCCGGCCCCCTCCCCCTCCCAGAATTAAATAGTTTAAATAATTTAAATCCGAAAGGGGTGTTCAGGATTTAAATTATTTAAATTATTTAATTCTGGGAGAGGGGGGGGGCCCGGTGGGGCCTGGCCCCCCCCCCCTTTTCGGATTTAAATTATTTAAATTATTGAAAATTATTTAAATTATATAAATTATTTAAATTATTTAAATTATTTAACTCCAGGGAGGAATTAAATAATTTAAATAGTTTAAATCTGAAAGGTGGGGTTCGGATTTAAATTATTTAATTCCCCCCCCGGAATCAAATAATTTAAAAAATTTAAATAATTTAAATAATTTAAATAATTTAAATAATTTAAATAATTTAAATCCGAAAAGGGGGGGGGGGGCCAGGCCCCACCAGGCCCCCTCCCCCTCCCAGAATTAAATAACTTAAATAATTTATTATTTAAATCCGAAAGGGGTGTTCAGGATTTAAATAAATATTTAATTCTGGGAGGGGGAGGGGGCCCGGTGGGGCCTGCCCCCCCCCCCTTTTCGGATTTAAATTATTTAAATTATTTAGATTATTTAAATTATTTAAATTATTTAAATTATTTAATTCCAGGAGGGAATTAAATAATTTAAATAATTTAAATCTGAAAGGGGGGGTTCGGATTTAAATTATTTAAATTATTTAAATTATTTAATTCCCCCCCCCCCCCGGAATTAAATAATTTAAAAAATTTTAAATAATTTAAATCCGAAAGGGGAGGCGCGCCAGGCCCCACCAGGCCCCCTCCCCCTCCCAGAATTAAATAATTTAAATAATTTAAATCCGAAAGGGGTGTTCAGGATTTAAATTATTTAAATTATTTAATTCTGGGAGGGGGAGGGGGCCCGGTGGGGCCTGGCCCCCCCCTTTTCGGATTTAAATTATTTAAATTATTTAAATTATTTAAATTATTTAAATTATTTAATTCCAGGGGGGGAATTAAATAATTTAAATAATTTAAATCTGAAAGGGGGGGTTCGGATTTAAATTATTTAATTCTCCCCCCCGGAATTAAATAATTTAAATAATTTAAATAATTTAAATAATTTAAATAATTTAAATCCGAAAAGGGGGGGGGGCAGGCCCCACCCGGCCCCTTCCCCCTCCCAGAATTAAATAATTTAAATAATTTAAATCCGAAAGGGGTGTTCAGGATTTAAATTATTTAAATTATTTAATTCTGGGAGGGGGAGGGGGCCCGGTGGGGCCTGCCCCCCCCCTTTTCGGATTTAAATTATTTAAATTATTTAATTCCTTGCCCCAGACCCCCCAGAAACGATAATAGGGTCTATTTGGAAGTTGTCTCTTGTAAATAAGTATACGTTTTGGGGCCTTATTTCCTCTTTAAAACACGAGTCTCAGCTTCCAAATAGACCCGATTTAAGCTGCACACCCCCCCCCCCCCCCCCGCCCCCCCCCTCCCCCCCCTCCCCCCCCTCCCCCCCCCCAGAATATGCTAGGGGGGCTTTGGGGATTTAAGGGCTTATTAATCTAGCGACTTGAGGTGCCCCTAAACTTTAGGCCCTCAAACCTAAGCCCTGAGAGCCCAAGAGCCTTAGAACCCAGAAAGGCATGTCCCGACTTGTAGAGGAAAACTTCTCCTCCCAACGACCTCACCACGAGTAAGCCCCCAACCCTAAATCCTAAGCCCTAAGCCCTAAGCCCTAAACCCTAAACCCTAAACCCTAAACCCTGAACCCTTTGTAAGGCTCCAAAGTCTCCAACAGGTTGGGATTTAGACTCGAAGCAGCCCTTCAGTTTGGGGGGCCTGAGGGGTTTCAAGGGTATCGTTGCCGAGGACTTTCATGCCGCAGCTGGAGAAGATGTGTGAGACTCTCGAAGAGCCCGGGGGCCCAGCAAAGAGGAGGAGCGAAGCTCCGAAAAAACCATCCCATTCCACCGAAGGGTCTCTCTTGATATTCTGGTGATGCAAAGCATGGCGCAGATCCTTAGGTCCAACATGATCCACAAGGACTTCCGGCTCTTCCTGACCAGCATGCCCCGGTCTCAGCGGCTCTTTGGAGCGGCCATGAGCTGCTGCAGTACCGGGCACACCGCTGCGCTTGCGAGCGCCCGCGGCAGATGGAGAGAGCATGCCCTTGGCACCTTCATCTTGCTGCGTACAAGTGCTAGGAGAATGCGCTTGTGCAAGTAATAATGTTGCACCCTCTTTAGAGTCCCCCCCCCCCCACCCTCCGCCTGCCCAGGGAGTCGAAGATGATTTTGGCCTTCTTTAAACCGTCCCGGGGTTTTATCTGATTTTAAAAGGGATAAGTTTTAAGGGCGCGCCGCGCGAACTATCCTTACAACACCCGGATCCCACCGGGCATCCCCAAACGGTCACACGGTCCTGAATTGCCCAGCAAGCTTGACTTAATCAAGTGTATCCACTCCGGAAATGCTGCCACAACCCTGTTGTGTCTGTATCGTTGGGGCGACATGGTGCCAGGGTACACAACTTTAAGCACATCAGCACAGATGGCAAGTGAGGCCAGCAGCATATTTCCCGGTGCCGGTGCTGCAGAACGGCATCAAGCTCACTACTGAGCCACCCAAGGCAAGCAATCACTACGAGCCATCCATGCTCTGGCATGTTGGATCGTTCCGTATGTGTGTCTAGTTCATGACCGCCATGCGTAACGGACATCTGATCTAGGCTAGCGAGCACCAACTTCCCTTCCCCCGTTCTCCAGTCGCTGTGAGCTGAGAGAGAACGTTGTGATGGTGCAGGGCCTCCGTGCCAACGTGATCCGATCCTTCCTGCCGATGACTGACGAACAGGCGAGGAATCATCCAATCCAAGGGATGCCTGTTGGCGCTTTTGGCATCCGTAGCTTTGCCAAAAGCCGCAACCCTAAACCCTCAACCCTCAACCCGAAACCCCAAACCCTTAAACCTTTAAACCCTTAAACCCTAAACCCTAAACCCTCAGTTGAGCTTCGTGACGGCTGTTTGAGCACAAGTCCTGAACCGCCAGCTCGGCGACTCGGCGAAAGACAAGGAGTGGCGGAAGCTCCAGTTCGGCCCACCACCCAGAAGAGACTTTTTTTGAATTCAGGGTGCAGAGGGTTTGGGCATGTGTGGGGTTTTATAGGCTTTGAAGGTTCTTTCATGTCACAATGCAGCGCGACTCCGCCCTGAGGTCTGAAGTTCTTCCACGCCGTCATTCAGGATGGTTGCACGTGCAGTGCAACTTAAGGCTCTCTGCCGAAGGCATGCGCCCTTGAGGTGGTGGGCAAACTAGCAGGCATAAGTAGTTCGAGTGGGGGTGAGAAGCAGGAGTCGTCCTATTGAGTAGAACAGCAGCTTGTAGCAGCTGTAGTCGTTTCGATGGACCAGGAGAGGCGGAAATTCGGTCCGCTGGGTTGGAATATCCGTCTCCGCCTGAACTGGGGTGTTGTGGACTTTGATGAGTCTTCTTGAGTCTGGCCACTTGCTTGGATGTGCCGTGCCAAGGCTACGAGTTCAACGATTCGGACCTGGAAACCTCCACCACGATCACCCACAACATGCTGGACCGACCTTGCGAGAGTTCTGCATGGTATTGTATGGGTGACCAGGGCGCTGGACAAAGCCATCATGAGTCATCATGACCCTCAGACTTACGGGCAGGAGCTGGACGGACCCATCCCATGGGACACCCTCCTCTTCGTCATCGGTCACATCAACTACGGTGGCCGTGTCACAGACGACAACGACAGGCTCAGACATTGCAGTACCTTCCCAGATCAGTTTGCTGGTTTGGATGAAGAACATGTTGCTGACTCTGCGGCACCATGTCTTGTACATGTAGCGTTGCTGCAGAAAATGCTTGCCACGGCTCATGAAATCAAAGCTGGTGCCACTTTGCTTTTTGCCCCCGCTGCCTTTGCTCTGTGCTGACAACACATCAGTGTAAATATCCTGAGGTGAAGCGCAAGGCGGTTGACCGGTTCTTCTTCAAAACCAAACATCGGTCGGGACAACCTGTCCCGACCGTCAAACCGCCATACCTGCACAGGAAGTGTCTCCTCGCCATCCTGGAGAAATACGTCACGCCCAAGATCCTCGAGCCTGGCTACGCGTTCTCCGAGAGTGGCACCTACAGGCGCATCGAGCGCCAGACAACACTTCGGAACTCTACTCGAGCAAAAGAGACTGCACAATCGCCCTAAACCCTAAACCCTAAACCCTAAACCCTAAACCCTAAACCCAAAACCCTAAACCCTAAACCCTAAACCCTAAACCCGAAACCCGAAACCCGAAACCCGAAACCCGAAACCCTAAACCCTAAACCCTAAACCCTAAACCCTAAACCTAACCCTAGACCCTACACCCTAAACCCTAAACCCATACGACGCCCTCAGCATATGTTCGAGCATGTAATGTCCTGAGCTCGTGAGGTGCCCTGACAATTCAGACACCGCCGATGTGGAGTCCTGGCGTAAGTTTGTCATGGCCTCGGCGCGGCCAAGGGTTTAGGGTTTAGGACCTGACTTCGAGATCGGGTTGTGGGAATCACTGGAATAGGATCAAAGCACTGCGCGCAGTGCCCCTGCGCGAAGCAATTCTTCGAGTCACGCCTTCAGGTGGCCAGCTTCCCCCTGGCCGAGCAGCCGGAGGACCGTGTCCCAGATGGCAAGCCTAGGACCCTGTTGAGTTCGCTCAAGGTGCCCAGAACAGACTTATCCTTGGTTTGTGACGAGTCAAGATCCTGGTGACGACAGCCTCAGCCGATTTTGTCTCACATTACAGTAGCTTTGAAGAAAGCAGGCGCGTCCTCACAAGTTTCCTCCTTCCGGCTCTCAGAGCCTCACTCGAGCACTTCATTCCCAAGACCGGATCCCATAATTTCCAGGTGCGTCGGAGGTTGAAAGACGAAGAAAGGAACTTTGCCTTACTTTGCCAGTCGGGCTGAAGGGTAAGCAAGGATGGCGTTGAGCCAGGTCTTCGGAATGCACGACAATGCGAACATCAGCTTCATGAGCTCTGGCCTTGGAAAAAGATGCAGTTATGCGTAGCCTCAGAACCCAACAGCTGGGGGTTTACGAAAATAATTAGGGACCCCGAAATAGACCCCCAGGCAAAGATGCCGGAAGGTCCCTACTGAAACCATGCTGTGGAGCTGGCTGACCCTCGCTGAATGCCGTGGCAGTTGCTTTTGATCGTGTTTGCCCTGAAACCCTAAATCCCGAACCTTGGGAGGGGGGCAAAGGTCAGGAGTCCGAGAAGGTCCTCAACACAGTTCTGTCGATCCAACCCCGAGAGGCTGGTTTTTGCAAAAAGCTGGACAAGGGGGGTTTAGATCGTTTAGGGGCCCTTTTTGTTATCTTACAAGATAAGGGATGAATTGTATGGTAACAAAGACAACAAGAGGGCCTCCTCGCGTGAGCATGATTGAAGATGCCCCTTCCACATTGCCGCGGGAGACATCGGCCCAGCAACTGTCCAGTCACTCTGCATACCAGCTGGGGGCATGCCAGCTGGGCATGCCAGGGGGAAATGAGCAATAATTCAACAGGTTTCGGCTCTCAAGGCGTGACTTCTCACAGTTCCTGTGCTCTTCCCAAAGTTGCAGAAGATGTTTTGCCATGCCTAGTGTGTGAATGCCCATCTCGTCACTGGTCCTGCTTGCACTCGCTGAGTTACATTCTGTGACGCAGCGGCCTTGTTTGGCGCTGCCAGGCTGGTGGAGGCGGGGGCAAAAGCTCGGAAGAGATTGTCCTTGAAATCTCTGCGGACCAGGAGAAGGGGCCTCGGTTCAGCATATTACAATAATGGCAACATGAGCGCCTGCAGGTGCTGCATCATGTGCTTCTTTCAGGCACATTTTTGCGGCTGCAGTTGAGGTCGCGATTGCCTGAACGTCTGCACACAGAGAATGCGCATGCGGACAGCTTCGCCATGAGTGAGGTGTGGGCTTCGAGTTTGTGAGATTGCCACATCTGGTGCATTGCACAGACGTGACTCGTGCTCGCCTCGTAGCACATAGACTGCATAGACTTCCTTGCCAGGAGACCGGCTTGATGACCTCCCTGGGGACTTGCCTCTCCCAGGTTCACCTCGAGCAGTGCTAAGGCTGTCTTTGCTGTCAGTTGGGGAAGTCTTCCAGGAGATGTCCCGCTTCAACCGCCTCCTACAACAGCTGGGAACCACATTGAAGCAGCTACAAAAGGCTCGGAAGAGAAGCTCTCTGTACTTGCCCAATGCCCTGCCCAATGCGCTGCCCAATGCGTTGCCCAATGTATTGCCTCAAGGCAGTGAAGGGAATCATCGTCCACGCCTTAACTTTTTGGCCCAGGGAATGGCCCCGAGGTTTCTCCTTGAGATGGTGTTTATGATGGGGAGCCCAGGTCATGACTGGTGAGCTGGACGACATGTTCAACTCCCTTCTCAACAACGGTGTGCCAAACCTCTGGACGAAAGATGGCATCGGCTACCCTTGTCTCAAGCCCTTGAACTCCTGGTTCGAGGACAGGGTGCGCGCTCTGTGGCTGACCATTGCCGCCGTCCAGCTCGGGGGGGCAGGGAGTTTTCAGATCATGTTTTCTGAATCCTAAAGCCCTACACCCTAAACCCTAAACCCCATTGTGAGGACATGATCCTCCGCTTTGACTTCTTCCGAGACTGGATCGAAGGTGGTATTCCTGTGGCCTACTGGATCTCATCCTTCTATTTCCCTCAGGCTGCACGCAGGTTTAGGGTTTAGGGTTAGGGTTGAGGGTTGAGGGTTTAGGGTTGGGTTTAGGAGGACATGTGGTTCGCTCAGCTGCACAGGGTGCCCCCCTGTGACTCCATGCTTCTGCAGGGCTTCCTGACCTCCGTCCTCCAGGGCTACTCGCGAAAAGAGATGATTCCGGTGGATCAGCTGTCCTTTGAGTTCGTCATGCAGGACTCAAAGGTACCGATACCTTAGTCTGGGAAAACGCAGAGCCGATTCTGATGTTGAGGCTCTGGTACTAAACCCTAAACCCTAAACCCTAAACCCTAAACTAAAAACCCTAAAAACCCTAAAACCCCAAAAACCCTAAAAACCCTAAAAACCCTAAAAACCCTAAAAACCCTAAAAACCCTAAAAACCCTAAAAACCCTAAAAACCCTGAAAACCCTAAAAACCCCAAACCCTAAACACAAAACCTAGCATCTGGTTGCCCATTGGCAGGACACGTCTGATCCTCAAGAGCTGGATGGTGCCCCTGCAGAAGGGATCTACATCCACGGCCTCTTCATGGACTCCTGGTTTCATTGGGTTCCCCTACAACCCCCCTCTATACTACCCCCCCCCCCCCCCTAAACCCCTAGGTTCCCCCCTTAAAAAAACCCCATTTAGCCAAACTATCCTAAATAGCCTTAATTAGGGGAACCCAGGGGTGGTTGTGTGTTGTGTGTTGTGTGTTGTGTGTTGTGTGTTGTGGTTGTGTGGTGTGTTGTGTGTTGTGTGTTGTGTGTTGGTGTTGTGTGTTGTGTGTTGTGTGTTGTGTGTTGTGTGTTGTGTGTTGTGTGTTGTGTGTTGTGTGTTGTGTGTTGTGTGTTGTGTGTTGTGTGTTGTGTGTTGTGTGTTGTGTGTTGTGTGTTGTGAGCGTGGTGCCAGCATGTTCTGGGCTCGGCCCCTGCAAGTCCGGCGTTGTTAGCTGTGGTGCTGCCTTCTCTCGTGCTGCACCAGCAAGGACGGTGCCGCCTGGAACTTCGAAGACATGACGATTGATGATCAAGAGTTTGGCACCATGTTCGTCAAGTCACCGGTCATCAACTTCATCCCCTGGAAGGCCGTGTGTAGTCAGTGTAGCCTGTGCAGCTGTTCTATATCCCCCTTGGGATTTATTTTTAATTTTTGTTTATATAGAACCCAAGAGGATATTAAACACAGTGTTTTTTTATTAAGGTTCTAAGGGGAGTATGGTTTTCTCTCGGCCAATGTATCAAGCCTTGCAAGCGAAGCATGTTACTTGTAGTACAACGGCTGTGCGACCGACAGGACAAGAAGGCCAACAATGAGAAGTGCTGCCCTTGGACAGATGTGGGGGAATCCGAAAATAGGGGTGCCGGTTTTGGGGGTTCCTCTCAGAGGGATTAGAAGTTTGGTGGTCTTTTAGGGTACCCCTATTTTGGGAAATGCCCATGTGCCAGACATGAACAGGCCTGAGGCTCAAGGCTGATGGCTCTGACAGGTACCGCTGCCCCATCTACAAGACTTCCATCCGTGCGGGTACCTTGTCAACCACCGGCCACTCCACAAACTTCGTGTTGGCCATCGAGGCGAGGAAAAAAGAGGGGCCGATTGTCTTCCGGCGCTTTTGGTGCACTTCGACAAAAAAAGCTGTGGCGATAGATGTTCGAAGTGCTAGGACGGTAGGACGGTCGGAGTCCAGTGGTGGCTGTTTTTTTCGAAGGTGGAGACGCTGAATGACCCGGCCTACTGGACGCTCAAAGGCGCAGCCATGCTGACCATGCTGAACGACTGAACGCAGAATTGCACGGCATCACGCACCTTTTTCTGCAAAGAAGCATGCCCGTATATACTCTCGACCCGATCTATACCTTCTTTTGTCCAGCTCAGAAGCATGTCGTTAAAGGATGCTTGAAGGACGTCTGCGCAACTTAGCGGAGTCCAAGCATGAGAATTACGCGGTTAGGTTTCTCACCCTGTGCCAGCAACCGTCTCGGGTGCTAGAGCCTGCAGCGTTGAACAGCCGCTGGTACAGGCATGCATGGAACAAATGCAGGTCTGCATGAGGCTGGCTGCCAACTGCTGCGTAAGTCTGACCTTTAAAGCTGTGTTTTGGACGTTCACTTGTGGGCCTGCTGTCTCTAATGCTCCCCACCTAAGGCGCCGCACCCGAAGTCTCTCCCCCAAGCACAAAACCAGCAACCTAGCGACGTGGTGGGCACCTGCTGTGACAGTTTCATTGCTCGAGCTGCGGCTGTCGCATAACAAGCCAACACCCCTGAAACACCTCCAGCCAAACCGAAGCTCGCAGAGTGGCTTGGCATGACGAAGTCTTCGGCCAGGTCGCCAGTAGAGAGGCAGTCAAGATGAGGTATCTGACATTGGTAGCTTTGCAGAGCTTCATGCTCTCCAAGTGGAGTCTTGATGGCTGCCTCGCTGTCGAATTCGTGTACAGCCCTCCCTCCCCCTTCCCCGAATTCTCTCGGCAGTCTCCCAGCTTCTCCGGCATCTCGCCCCAAGGGCGCTACATGCCAGCTGATCTCTGCCAAGCCAAACTAAGTAACTAAAATCCGAAATGAGCAGTCTAGACGCGGTACTCCGTAGCTAGACCCCTCCTGCGGATTTGTGGCAGGGACGGCTCATTGTCGTCTTAATGCACCAAGCCTGGAGTGAGGACACCAGCTCGACGTGTTTTGTTTTGAAAATCGAGGGTGTTTGGAACCGTTGAGGCGCAGATGTTATGCTCACATAGTACATCGTAGTGCAAACGCTGGTGCAATATGTATATATAGAAAATATAATGCAATATAATATAATATAGTATAGTATAGTATAATATACTGAAATAAAATAAATGAAAATAAAATAAAATAAAATAAAATAAAATAAAATATAATATAATATAATATAATATAATCTAATATAATAATATATAATGAGATATATATATATATATATATATATATATATACATATACGTATATATATATGTATGTACATATTCTGTATGTATATATATATATATGCTTATTCATTATTATTATTATTATTATTATTATTATTATTATTATTATTATTATTTGTGTGTGTGTGTGTGTGTGTGTCTGTCTGTCTGTCAGTCCGTCCGTCCGTCTGTCTGTGTGTTTTGGTGGGATGGGGGGAGGGCGGAGGGCGCGGGTGTTCCCAAGAAGTCCTAAACGTTGACCTGCAACTTCCGCAAATCTTCGGGGGTTCCGCAGCCTTCTTGTCGTCGAAGAAGCTGCTCTGGCTGCACCATCTTTGCACATGAAGGCCCGTCCATCGCCAAGTTTCGTGATCGACTTTCTGGATGGGACTTGTTTCCAACAGGCAGGTTGTCTCCCTGCATGTACATCGTAGAATGCGAAGATTGTCGTGTGCATCCAGCGTGGTGCGTGGCTAATCTTCTCGCTGGTGTTTGTGTCGGCGCACTAAAGCCGCGGCTGCAGCTGCTTCGTATAGAAAGAAGCCCATGAGCAAAGGATCTCGCGATTTCGCATGCCTTTCAGGGTTGAGGGCCTGGGGATGAAGCTCAGGTTGCCCCACCTCCAGAAAGCATATCTCCGTGCGGGAGTGTATCCAACATATGCCGGCAAGCAAGCCTAGACAAGTAATGAAAGCGTGGCCATGCAGCCGTAGCTGATCGGCCACGATGCCTCTTCGCGCTGCCGACCGGTTGCTGGGTTCGCTTAGGGGTCACGTTGCAAGCTGACAGCCAATCCCGGGCATGCGCTTGTGGTCGGTGTGAAGGTACGGTAGGGTAGCTGCTGGTGGAGCGCCCCTAGAATCTGAAGACGTGGCTTGCCTAGCAGTTAGAAGCACTATTGGTGGAAGCTAAGTTCATAGTGGGAAGCTGCCAGGAGCGGGCCTCTTCTACTGCGCTGGCATAGCGGGCAAGATGAACTGGCTCCTGGCAGAGGGCCTCAGGCAGATGGGCACTTGCCCAAAGTGTTGCGCTGCTACTCAGATGTGCGAAGTCCAAGTGTTTGTTCGCGATTTGCAAGGTGAGACATGTGCCTTCCGCCAGTCGGTATGTGGTCTTCTTCCCCGGGGACCGGCAACAGTTGTGAGTACAGTCGGCGTCCAGGAAGCCCTCGAAGTTGTCTAGCTATGAGCAATGAAACCTCCCGAGCTTAGTTGCGACCTGCTGCCAAGAGCAGTGTGCCAGTCTTCGCTGCTCAGTGCAATGCGAGAATCGACTTTCCTTTTTTGTGTCTGGCAACTAGAACTATGCCTTCCGGGAAGAGGACATCAGCGACTTTGCCAACAAACATGCGCCTTACAGCTACTCGCTGGAGGCATGAGGCATGTTTCTGAGCTGCTGCGTTCATGCATGTTGGGGAGAGCCCTGAATAGTCAGCTGACATGGCGTGATCGATGTGTCAGGGCAGAAGGAGGATGTTCCCAGCAACAACAAGTTGATGGTAACGATTGGCTGCTACGCTCCCTGTGCCAGGGGCTTCTCTGGGTGCTCTGCAGCAAGTATCCAGACGACACCGTCGTCTTGGCAGCTCAGCCGGAGCTTGTTGCAAACGCTTGCCGTGGGCCGTTTTGGCGTTGATATCAAATTTTGCCTGAAGGTCAAACCGCGGATGATGCTGGATCATTTTGCCATCTATGCGAACTTCATGATGGCGGAGCACTGAATTTGTGCCTGCATCAGCGTTTTTTGTATGCAGTGCGGGGAGCTGTTGAGAGCTGTTAGTCATGACAAGCGAACTACTTTGAATTACTCATTCTCGCAGGTGGATGGCATGGGAAATCCCAGGCATCTGAGCGACAAGAGAAATGAGAAGCAGGCCCCTGGCAAGTGTGACACCCCTGCGCCACTGCCATGAAGTGCACTGAAAGCGTGAGCTCTGTGTGTAAACACTGCGAAGGCCGATGCATCCAGACCTGATGAGTACGACGTTCCAGCGTGCGTCCCAGCCTTTGAGAGTGGGTTGCGGTGAAGGATTGTGGCACAACGCGGAGGCGTCGGGTCATCTGCGTCAGCTGCCGCCTGCCTTGTTTTCGGTGTCAAGGGCACAGTGTTCAGTGCTTGTCAGCTTCTGCCTTGCCACGCATGCGGCGTGCCAGGCTGAGTTCGCTGGGCAAAGAGCTTGGTGAGGACTCGGCGGACATGGCGCTTTGTTTGTGCACTCGAAGGGTTGTTTGGCACTTGCCCGACGCCTTTAAGCTAAGGCTGGTGGTTGAGATGTTGGTCGCTGTCAGCGCATCACTGCATTTTGGCCTTGTGGACGGAATGGATTCAGATTCTGGCCAGGAAGTGCCAAGCAGTTTGGTCCTCGTTGGCTTCAGCAAAGGAGCCGCGGTCAGCCCCGAGAAGCATCGTGAAGCCCAGCCAAAAGCCTTTCCCAAAACGCCGTCTGGAGGTACTGAATGCTCTGATGCGTGATCCGGAGGCCGCACAGCAGCGTGTGTCATGCGTCATAAGATCATGGGGGAGGTTTTCCGAAAGATACCCTCGTTACCTGTAAGGGACCATCATGGGACTATTGAGGGCTCGTAGGCTGTATAGCCGTAGCCACCCGCCCAGGAGTCTCTCTGGTCGGCAGTTCGCACGGCCATGGCCTTGCCATGTTGCGGGGACGGACAAGGGGGCGAGGGGGGGGGGGGGTGGGAGGGAATTTTGGGGGGGTTGAGATGTGGGTATTTCCCAAAATAGGGGTCCCTTGTTTATACACCAAATAGAGTAGGATCCCTTTAAAGGGACCCCGCAAAAAGGGTACTGTACCCCTATGTTTGGAACCCCCCTTGTGAGGTGCACTTCGTGGACGCAGGCCTTGCCATCCCAGGCGTCTTTCCACTTGGAGAGCAGGCGGGCTGCAGGAATTTCCAGAATGAGGGGGGTTTAGGGTTTAGGGTTTAGGGTTTAGGGTTTAATTAGGGTTTAGGGTAGGGCCGTGCTTGCACCCCCGGCTTCACCAGAATTAGATGCCTAGGGGTGTTTGCGCCGGTTGGGTCATAGGGGGTCGCTTCAGTCGCTTGGTCGTTTGGGTCGCCCTAAGCCCTATACCCTAAACCCTGAACGGTCCAGGGCGATCCCAAATTTCAAATGGCAACGTACAGATAAGCACCCCGTATTCAATTTGATTGTTGGCAGTATTTTTGCGGCCCGTTGGCAGGAACTTCAGAAGCTGAACAAGGTTGTCTGGTCCTCATCCTTGTGATTCTTAGCCACTCTGCTTCTTGGCCTGGGCTGAGCATGTGACTGGGCTGCTTTAGACTTTAATCTTTCGCTTTCGTAGCTTCCAGGTGCCGCAAGAATTCGAGATCTGGCTCCACTGCACACCGCGACAAGTCGAGGACCCATGTCGCCGAAAACCACCCGTAAAAAGTCAGCTCGAAAGGGTGCAGACATTCGGCCCATCGGCTCTTCTGCATTCTCCGATCTGTCTTGTTGTCTGCAGCAATTTGATGCAAACCATGTGAACCTACAGACTTTACCGATGTGCCACACCGTGTGCTGCCACAATGCAAGGATGAATCGCGTCCCTTTGTCGCTCATGAGCACGATGCCTTCGAAGCAAAATGTAAGGCACGTGGACTGGAATCACGGGTATAGTAAAACTGCTAAACTGGTTTGGCAGCCGGCAGTGTGGGGTGAGCAGACTGCCGCTGGCTTTCTGGCAGGCATTGGGAGTTGCTGTGCAGCGGAGGCCTTCTTCAACTGAGAAAACTTGGCCCGCAGCGTCATCTTCAGTACTAAGCATGTTCCACAATGCGCTTTTGTTAATCTTCTTCTGGGCCTCTTGAACCCGAAAGCTAGACTTCCAGACAAGAGCTTCTGCGAAACCCAATCCCAGACTCCTCGTCTGCGCTTTAACGTTACACTGTGCTGCAATGTACAGGATGTACGCTGCAGGGCTTCCAGTGAGCTTCGCCCTTAAAACTTGGCACAGAGCCGGAAGAGGAAGTTGGCGGCAGTGCCTCTGCTAAGGCCTAGACATGCACTTCGACGCCCTCCGCTGCTTCGTTACAAGCCGAGAAGATCAGGAGAACTTCGCCTCTTCGTAGTTCGGCGTAGTTTTGTTCGTGGTTTTGTCGGTATTGTGGTCTGCTCGTTGGCAGGATCGGTTCATTGGTATGAGTGGGCATCTGCATCTGTGGGCGTTTAGTTTACAGTTTGCGTTCTTCGCAGCGAGAACAAGTGTGACTTGCGTTCCGTAATCCTCCCTGTGCAGAGTCTGGCGGGGAAAGCATCATCCACCCTACTCCGCACGACCCGTTTGAAAGGACGGAGGGGACCGGCGCTGCGGCTTCTTCCAAGCCTGGAGAGCTGTTGCGGAGGCGCAGGGAGAGGGAGACGGGAGGTTGATGACGATCCGTACCATGATTACCATCAGTACCATCATTGCCATCATTACCACCATTACCAGCTCGACCATTGCCTGTGACCTCACAGGACAGGTGTCGTACCAAACACGAGTAGGTCTCCTGAAAAAGACACTGGCAAAGCTGTGGCAGGCAGCAGACGACGACTGGACATGATGCCGAGAAGCGAAAGTCGGCAGCTGCCTGGCGAGCTCACGCTAATTAAACCTCCATGGGCATTGACCCCAAGACGTGACGGAACCTCCAACCAGCTTGTCAGCTCTGAATGCAGGGAGCCTGTCGCTGCCCTGGCTCAAGGGTGCTGCGAAGTACGATGGACATACGACCAAGAGGCATCCGCAACATGCTGGCAGTGGCTCCAGACTGAAGCATCCCGTACTCAGAGTCGCAAGCAAGCAGCAAGCAACCCTGAATTTTCACATCTTCCACGGCCGCGGGCAAAACATCTTGCAGAGGACCAGGTTTACCCAAGTCACAGGCAATCATACTTCAGAAATTCTACCTAGTCCATGGTGCATCCTGTTGAAGATGTGGGTTGGAACCTTGCCGTGAGCTAAGACTTGCTTGGCATTCTGCACCTTTCGGACCCTTTGCCACCATGCCATCGTGCCACTGTCCCGTTGAGCACATCACAGCAGTCACTACAACAAGAGGCAAGAGAGAGAGAGAGAGAGAGAGAGAGCGTCCGTCTCCCACCGAACCCACGTACCGCTCCAAACAGGGGCGGGCGATGACGCCCGGGGGCTTCGGCCTCCACGCCCTCCGAAAGAAAGAAAGAAAGAGAGAGAGACGCGCAGGGCAATGCCTATGAAGGGGGAAGTTGGTTGTGGGTTGTGGTATACTAAGGTCCACTAAGGACTGGTCAGGTTGCTGCTGGTGGGGAACGCCCCTCCCGCGTCTGTCACAGTATCACTTGAGACCGGATTCGGGCGCGCCCGCGCGCGGGGGCCTTCGGGTCCCTAAGCCCAGCAGAAGAAGAAGAGAGGGAGGGAGGGAGAGGAGGCAAAGGTCCGCAGGATACCTCAGCCCCCGAGAAAGAAAGGCTCGGGAGCGCAGAGGAGGAAGAAGAAGAAGAAGAAGAAGAAGAAGAAGAAGAAGAAGAAGAAGAAGAAGAAGAAGAAGAAGAAGAAGAAGAAGAAGAAGAAGAAGAAGACGAAGAAGAAGAAGAAGAAGAAGAAGAAGAAGAAGAAGAAGAAGAAGAAGAAGAAGAAGAAGAAGAAGAAGAAGAAGAAGAAGAAGAAGAAGAAGAAGAAGAAGAAGAAGAAGAAGAAGAAGAAGAATAAGAAGAAGAATAGAAGAAGAAGAAGCATGAGAAGAAGAATACGAAGAAGAATAATTAGAATCAGAAGAATAATGATAATAAGAAGAAGGAGAAAAATAAGAAGAGCAGCAAAGTGAAGTCAACACAGAGTCTGGGATGCCAGATTTCTTGCTCCGGTTTCAAGTTCTCCCAGCTGCTCACTGCTCTGCTCCGAAGTCCCTCGACGTCAATGCACTTCTTTCCACACTTTTTGCTCAATGTTGTCTCATGGTCGTGCAGTTCTTTCGCAGTATTCCTTTTTTTGGGTCTCTCTCTCAGAAGTGATCGAGCTCTGCTTTCAATTTCTGCCGATCCTCTCAGTTGCCTCCAACAAAAGCACAGCCTCTAACCCCGTGCCGAGGTGCCGTCGCCAAGTGACATGGCCACTGAGGGCCACTCCGCCAACATACATACATCATATCATATACGTGTATATATATATATATATATAGGGTTTAGGGTTTAGGGTTTAGGGTTTAGGGTTTAGGGTGTAGGGTTTAGGAACAAATATACTACACGTATACACATCTAGTCACCTGTATATATATATATATATGTATATGCGTATCATCTACTTATCTATCTATATGGGAGGTTACCGAAAATTCGGTTACTCCTTCTCGGGGTTCTTATAATGACAATGAGGATTAAACAAAAAGATGGGGGTATGTTGAGGGGGGGGGGTCCTGTTTTGGAAAGCCCCATACATGTACTTGCGTACACATGTCTATAGGTATATGTGCACACTATATATGTGGAATATGTTGTATAGATGATGTATAGATGTATGTCTGTGTGTACACGTGCGTGTATTTTCGTATGTATACATGAAAAAATGCGCTTACGCACGTATATGGATTCCTATATGTATGTCTGTATGTATATACGTTTATATGCACATATGCATATAGGTATATATGTACATGCGTATATGTGTATGCAGGAAAATCTATATGTGGGTACGTACCTATATCGTGGACACACTCGCGCGTACATTAAATTCTAAGGTGATCTGTTCCTGCTGCTACATGTCGTTCGTTGCCTCGTCTGCAAGGTTGCTTAAAAGGTGTTATCAGAGGAAACACCATGACATACATGTAGTCTGTTGCTCATCTAGATTCTAGACAAATGCAGAGCGGGCTCTAGAATGGCTTTTGCAGCAGCACGATTTCTGAGGACACGCAATTAGTATCCGCATTCGGCAAAAGCTTCCACAGTAAGTCAGCCTTCTGTGACAAACGAACATAACCGCTGCCAAGTTTCAAGCTTCGACATGCCCAGCGCCGGCGAAGAGGCCGCCGGACAAGCACGTGGTGAAGTGCCCTTAGGGTCAAAGAGTTTCTTCGTGCATCGCTTTGTGAATAGGAACTCCTGAGACTCAAAGAGTGCAGGTGAGTGGCACTTGTGTGGGCAGAAAAGCCCACGTAGCTTGCGCAGAGCACGTCCTGTGGGTTGCAAGAGTGTTCTTCGGTCCTGCAGAGACTCTAGCCTAGTAGCTTTGCAGTTCTTCCTAAACCCTAAACCCTAAACCCTAAACCCTAAACCCTAAACCCTAAACCCTAAACCCTAAACCCTAAATTCCTGGAGCGAGACAGTCCGCAAGGCTGCATGCATAAACCCTAAACCCTAAACCTTTTGCAGGGTGGACTGGCGGGACTGGCCACGGTCGAGGCAGGGATTGTGAATCCAAGGACCGGAACAGTGAGGACACACGCTCGGGTTTAGGGTTTAGGGTTTAGGGTGACTGGCTGCGAACGTGGCTCTTCGTGTCAGTTCGTGTCCCCTAGTTCGCTTGTTGAAAGATGTTTGCGAAGGCACATTCTATGCTGGGTGTGGTGATTGGAGCACATCCTGTGGGCGGCACCGGGTCAGAAACTTGAGAGCAGCTCGCGTCTTCATTCTGATATCCCTAAGCTCGCAAAACAGAATCCCTTTTGAAATCGAAGCCCAGGCCTAAGGCCGGGTTCCTCTACATCCGGGTGCTTGAGGCAAAGCTGTGCACGATGTCGCACTTCTTGTGGTTCTTGCATTCCCACCTGTTTCTGATGGGCTGAGTTCCTACAGCCACCATTTTCATGCTGCGCCAGCAGAACTGCCATTTGCCCTGTTGCGAGCTTCCCAAATGTCGTGGTTTCAGATGGTCACTGCGTATGGCTGCGATTTCTGATGCTCGTCGCTACAGTCGCTTCGACTACGACCTGGGATCCGTGCTCTGGCCTTCACCGCTTGAACACCAACCATCATCATACGCACTCTCACCATGTTCAGCACCGGCGTGGTTCGATGTACCATTGTGAAACTCGCCATGATGACGAGATGATGAGGATGAGGATAAGGATGAGGAGGAGGAGGAGGACAAGAGGACGAGGACGAGGACGAGGATTATGAGAGTGACGTTGTTCAGGCAGTACTTGTAGAACCGGGCTGATCGCTAGAGACAGAGACATCTCGTTGGCTCGGCAGCATCGTACATGCTAGCACGCCCTTCTTGCCCTAGTGCCTGCGGGATGTCTCAGGTTTGTTGTGCGCGGTGTCTTCTGTGCTCTAGGAAGTGCATGTTCCCTGGCCTGGGGTGCCTGGGCCCAGTAGTACCAAGCTCCGTGCAAGGCAGGCAACCTTGGCAGCCTCATTAGCCCGTTGCCTACCGGTGTGGAGCACTTCTCTCGCGGCGAATCGTGTCGGGGGCACCTGTGGCTTAGGCACGCCATCATGCTGCAGATCCTCGAGCTCAAGCTCCACAGGTGCGGGTCGTTCCCTGGACAAGGAACAGCAAGTTGGTAGCATGATCATGAAGAGCTGAGTAACTTAGAAGCTCCTATTGCACCGCGCCCTCACAGACATGTGCAGAAAGCCATTTGCCAGAGCCAGGTTGCTCATCGTGTTTCTTCTCTTGCTCGGGTTGCAATTGCCCGCGCCTTTGCTGCTGCCGGATGTGTCGCTTGAGCAAATGCAGATCTGCAACTGCTTGGAAGACGTCATCTGTTGGTCGCGCACCCACTATGTAGATCAGATCCATCGCCATCTGTGTAGCTATCGAAACCCGTTGTTTCCTCCTCTGCCAGGCACGTCACGCGGAACACCAGACTTGCTTCAAGTCGCGTGCGCCTGGCATGTCAACAGCTCCGAAGCCCGATGAAGCTCTACTTCACCCAACATGACACTTGGTGCTCTTTGACTCTTTGACCGTTCTTCTGTTTGTTTTTGTTGGCAGGTTCTCCTGCATCTGCTTCGAGCGCCCTGTCCGGACCAAGGCGAGCGGAGCTGAACTTAATTGAATTGAAGTGCAGTGCTGAATGTGCATAAAATGGGGAGAAGAAGAAGCAGAGGAAGAAGCAGAAGAAGAAGATGAAGAAGAAGGAGAAGAAGAAGAAGAGGAAGAAGAGGAAGAAGGCGAAGAAGAAGCATAAGAACAAGAGAAAGAGAAATAGAAAGAGAAAGAGAACGAGAAAGAGAAAGAACAAGAGAAAGATAAAGAGAAAGATACAGAGAAAGAGGAAGAGGAAGAGGAAGCGGAAGATGAAGAGGAAGAAGCAGAAGAAGAATAACAAAAAACAAAATCATATTCATAAATATAACCATAAGAAGAACAGAGAGCATGGCTTTTTTTGAGTCGAAGAGCATGCCAGGGTGCAGCCCCTGTGGATGAAAAGGCGGGCACAGCCACGTTCCAGGAGGACTCACGTAGTGCGCGTTCTTTGCAGCCTGAACCATCGAAGCAAGGCAAGTGGCCGAAGGGAGTCAAGGTTCAATACTCGCCGCCAAATCAGCTCGCACGGAGCCTTCGGCTCGAATTCCGAACAGGCATAGTTTCCCCCCGATTACTGAAGAAGCTCGCCTTGCCATGCACATGGAAGCAGCCGTCCCGATGGTGCTGCACTACAAGCACAGCTTTCTGACAGCTCAGGAGGCCTGGCACCACGAACTTGTGACTTGTGGCACTGTGGGGAGTGGTTTCAGAGCTCAAGTGTTGCCTCTTCGCACGTCGTGCATGTGCCGGATCTCTTCCAAGGCCGCTGGCCTGTGGCCTATGCCCAGTCCTTCACTTCAGCCTTTCACCGACGGAAAAGTCCATAGCGAAAGTTTTCACACCATGCACGCCCTGAAGAATCATGTCGCTGCTAGCCTGGTGCACAGCGGTTGTTCGCCCAGCTCATCCTTTCTCCCCAGAGAGAACATGACCACCTTCGAAACTTTCCCTCCTTTCCCTAATCTTTCCTAAGCCCCCTTGCTTCTTAGACTGCAAGGTGATCGCGGCCACCGACCGGGAGCGCTCTCAAAGTGAGCCACCGCCGCCCTCTCGAGAGCTGAAGGCGCAGATCGGATGGGATAAGAATAGGAAGCTTTCCAGCATCATTGTCAGGATGTTGCCAGCCATGGTGGTTGTTGGGAACCATCTGCTAGCTGTCGGTGTCTTTCGAATCGACCCGCGCAGCATTCCAAGTACTGCTTCATGCCGCAGTGTGACCAGCTCAGTTTTGGCGGCCGTCACTTAAGTAGGGAGCAGCTCTTGAGGCCGCCTTTTTGTGTAGTTAGGTTTCGCGCCGCCCTCACAAGTAGGAGTGGTATTGCCGTCGACCCTTTCTTGATCCCCCTGTGCCGGATGAGCGGCCGTGGAGATGACTTGGAAGCCGGCCGAAGGGAGACTTTTGAGCTGGCTTGTCGTCCGCGCGTTCCGTGGTGTGCCGTGCTTCCCGCTATTCTTGTACTCTTGTTGCCCATGCTGCTGTGGACAAGGGGGAACTTCACATTCCTCCGAATTATCAAACAGCCTCACAGCTACCAAGGGCAAGCACTTAGAAGTTCAGGCAACAAAAGCCTCTTTTGGCCACGCACCACCGAGTTACCAGCAAATGCTGCGAGGCACGACGTGAGCGAACTCATCCGACACCATGGCCAGCGCGTGGATGGTGCGAGCTCACATTTCACCATGTTTGACATCAACGGCGGCATGTTTGGTTGGCTGAAGGGGAAAGGCGAACAGTTTGTACAGGACATCTTCCACGAGACGCTTGATCCCGTCTGTCAGGTGGACATGTCGCCGGGCGAAGCGTGGGAGAAGGCTGTCGTTCTAGACATTGGGTCCAACACCGGCTTCTACGGCTTGCTTGCACTGGCGAAGGGCTGTGCCGTTGTTTTCGTGGAGCCGCAGCCAGAGTGCAACGTGTTAATCTCGCAGTCCATCCGTGAAAGTGGCTTGGATGAGCGGAAGGTAAGGCGCGTGCAACAGCCGGTGGGTCGACAGGAGGAGTGGGGCAAATCTCTGGCGGTGTGGCCTGGCAACCATTGCTCTGGGAGGTTTCCCGTCGAAAATGCGGAGCGCGGGCACAAGGACGCGTTTGGGTCTGATGGAGGGTCGCAGGACACCCAGATGGCAACGCAAATTCCCTTCCTGCCGGTGTCCGACATGCTGGAGCTGGTGGGCTTGTCTGACAGCAGCAAGATACAACTGATCAAAGTCGACACTGAAGGAAATGAACTTCAGATACTGGAAGCTATGCTGCCGCTTCTTCAATCTTGGCAGATTTCGAACATGGTGGTGGAGGTGGGGCTGCGCAGGCTGTTGTATTCTGATGTTTTTTTCCCCAAAACTTCCCTGGGCTGATCAAGTTCTTGGCAGGGTTTTTCGAGATGTATTGAATTGGCATCCCCCAGGTTTGGCAGGTTAGGCTCACAGTGCCCCCCGTTAGTTTTATCCCCTACGCTTGAAAGACTCCCTCCCCCCTCAACACCCTCTACCCCCCTCCCTCCGTCTCTCCCCTCCGCCCCTCCCCTGCCTCCTGCTTCCCCCCTCCCCCCCAACCAAAATTCAGAGCCTACCAAACATCTTTCGGTGACGGCCGCAGCGATTGCTTCCCCTCCTTGCACCCTGACGTCATCCTGACTTCATCCACCACTCCCCATCCCAACCATGACAACCCAACATTCAAACTTCAAACCCAACGTTTACCCACCAGCTCCCCATCCCCACCATTCCCATCCTTACTTACTACCCGCCATCCACCAATCTCCACCGTTTCCACAACTTCCACCATTTCCACATTTCCCACCATTACCACCATTTGCACCATTCCTCACCATTCTGCAACATTCACCAGCATTCCCACCATTCCGTACCACGCCCCGCCATCACGTCCACACCCACCACTACTCACCATACCCAACATTCCTACCATACCCCGCCATCCAAATCATCGCATTTTCCCTATGACCTGCCATTCTCCCCATTTCCCGCCCACATTGCCGCCGGTCTGGCCATTCCGCCCCCCATTGCCCATCCCCACACTACCCACCATTGCACCAGCACGCGCACGCCCCCACGCACTATTCCCAACATTACACACCCTGTCCCGCCATTCCCACTCACCATGCAAGACCATTCCCCATCGCACCATAACCCATCATTTCCATCATTTTCCGCCCATATTGCCGCCAGTCCGGCCATTCCCCACTGTCCACCACCCACAATTCCCACCATTCCCACCTTGCCCACCAGTCGTCACTACCTACCAGTCCCGCCACTGCCCACCATTCCCACCATTCGCCAACGTCCTATGCAAGTAGGAAAAGGGGTTTTTCGTTAGGGTGGAGATGTAGAAGCTGAACTCTTCTGTTTAGCTTTAACCTTACTGAACCTTACTAAACCCTTTTAAATCCCTCCCACCCCCAGGACTGCCCAAGCTACCCAAGCTGCAGAATAGAAGAATAGAATTAAGACCCCTTGGATTAGGCTGGGGGCCCAAGGCCCCAAAAAAGAACCAGCAATATGCAAATCAAAACTGTCGCCGACCGAGAACAAAGAAGAACACCCCGAGAATAAAGAATAAACAGCCACGCCCGTGGAGGTGACTCCGATGTGGTGGCACCACACGGGCTACTCCAGGAACGAGGGAGCCGAGATCTTCGAGGGCATTGCTGCCTTGGGCTTTGCTGGGAGCACGATCCGGGGGCACAGCGTACAAGACGCCACAGCCATGCGCGACTATATTCTGCACGGACACATCTATCAGGACGACCTGTGGCTTCGGCGAAAGGCTCTCGATTGGAGTGGTGCTGGCAACACTTCGAAGCAGCTTGTCTTCGCCAGAAACAGTAGCACTCTTGAACCCACGCTCTTTGGCACCAGCACGCAGCGTCCGCTTGCAGCTAGCTCCTTCTCAGCTGGAGGGAGCGACGGTTTCGGCAAGACTGCCAAAACCTTGTTTGCTCCGGAGCCGCAAGAAGTACCAGCAAATGCTGCGAGGCACGACGTGAGCGAACTCATCCGACACCATGGCCAGCGCGTGGATGGTGCGGGCTCACATTTCACCATGTTTGACATCAACGGCGGCATGTTTGGTTGGCTGAAGGGGAAAGGCGAACAGTTTGTACAGGACATCTTCCACGAGACGCTTGATCCCGTCTGTCAGGTGGACATGTCGCCGAGCGAAGCGTGGGAGAAGGCTGTCGTTCTAGACATTGGGTCCAACACCGGCTTCTACGGCTTGCTTGCACTGGCGAAGGGCTGTGCTGTTGTTTTCGTGGAGCCGCAGCCAGAGTGCAACGTGTTAATCTCGCAGTCCATCCGTGAAAGTGGCTTGGATGAGCGGAAGGTAAGGCGCGTGCAACAGCCGGTGGGTCGACAGGAGGAGTGGGGCAAATCTCTGGCGGTGTGGCCTGGCAACCATTGCTCTGGGAGGTTTCCCGTCGAAAATGCGGAGCGCGGGCACAAGGACGCGTTTGGGTCTGATGGAGCGTCGCAGGACACCCAGATGGCAACGCAAATTCCCTTCCTGCCGGTGTCCGACATGCTGGAGCTGGTGGGCTTGTCTGACAGCAGCAAGATACAACTGATCAAAGTCGACACTGAAGGAAATGAACTTCAGATACTGGAAGCTATGCTGCCGCTTCTTCAATCTTGGCAGATTTCGAACATGGTGGTGGAGGTGACTCCGATGTGGTGGCACCACACGGGATACTCCAGGAACGAGGGAGCTGAGATCTTCGAGGGCATTGCTGCCTTGGGCTTTGCTGGGAGCACGATTCGGGGGCACAGCGTACAGGACGCCACAGCCATGCGCGACTATATTCTGCACGGACACATCTATCAGGACGACCTGTGGCTTCGGCGAGAGGCTCTCGATTGGAGTGGTGCTGGCAACACTTCGAAGCAGCTTGTCTTCGCCAGAAACAGTAGCACTCTTGAACCCACGCTCTTTGGCACCAGCACGCAGCGTCCGCTTGCAGCTAGCTCCTTCTCAGCTGGAGGGAGCGACGGTTTTGGCAAGACTGCCAAAACCTTGTTTGCTCCGGAGCCGCAAGAAGTACCAGCAAATGCTGCGAGGCACGATGTGAGCGAACTCATCCGACACCATGGCCAGCGCGTGGATGGTGCGAGCTCACATTTCACCATGTTTGACATCAACGGCGGCATGTTTGGTTGGCTGAAGGGGAAAGGCGAACAGTTTGTACAGGACATCTTCCACGAGACGCTTAATCCTGTCTGTCAGGTGGACATGTCGCCGGGCGAAGCGTGGGAGAAGGCTGTCGTTCTAGACATTGGGTCCAACACCGGCTTCTACGGCTTGCTTGCACTGGCGAAGGGCTGTGCTGTTGTTTTCGTGGAGCCGCAGCCAGAGTGCAACGTTTTAATCTCGCAGTCCATCCGTGAAAGTGGCTTGGATGAGCGGAAGGTAAGGCGCGTGCAACAGCCGGTGGGTCGACAGGAGGAGTGGGGCAAATCTCTGGCGGTGTGGCCTGGCAACCATTGCTCTGGGAGGTTTCCCGTCGAAAATGCGGAGCGCGGGCACAAGGACGCGTTTGGGTCTGATGGAGCGTCGCAGGACACCCAGATGGCAACGCAAATTCCCTTCCTGCCGGTGTCCGACATGCTGGAGCTGGTGGGCTTGTCTGACAGCAGCAAGATACAACTGATCAAAGTCGACACTGAAGGAAATGAACTTCAGATACTGGAAGCTATGCTGCCGCTTCTTCAATCTTGGCAGATTTCGAACATGGTGGTGGAGGTGACTCCGATGTGGTGGCACCACACGGGATACTCCAGGAACGAGGGAGCTGAGATCTTCGAGGGCATTGCTGCCTTGGGCTTTGCTGGGAGCACGATTCGGGGGCACAGCGTACAGGACGCCACAGCCATGCGCGACTATATTCTGCACGGACACATCTATCAGGACGACCTGTGGCTTCGGCGAGAGGCTCTCGATTGGAGTGGTGCTGGCAACACTTCGAAGCAGCTTGTCTTCGCCAGAAACAGTAGCACTCTTGAACCCACGCTCTTTGGCACCAGCACGCAGCGTCCGCTTGCAGCTAGCTCCTTCTCAGCTGGAGGGAGCGACGGTTTCGGCAAGACTGCCAAAACCTTGTTTGCTCCGGAGCCGCAAGAAGTACCAGCAAATGCTGCGAGGCACGACGTGAGCGAACTCATCCGACACCATGGCCAGCGCGTGGATGGTGCGAGCTCACATTTCACCATGTTTGACATCAACGGCGGCATGTTTGGTTGGCTGAAGGGGAAAGGCGAACAGTTTGTACAGGACATCTTCCACGAGACGCTTAATCCCGTCTGTCAGGTGGACATGTCGCCGGGCGAAGCGTGGGAGAAGGCTGTCGTTCTAGACATTGGGTCCAACACCGGCTTCTACGGCTTGCTTGCACTGGCGAAGGGCTGTGCTGTTGTTTTCGTGGAGCCGCAGCCAGAGTGCAACGTTTTAATCTCGCAGTCCATCCGTGAAAGTGGCTTGGATGAGCGGAAGGTAAGGCGCGTGCAACAGCCGGTGGGTCGACAGGAGGAGTGGGGCAAATCTCTGGCGGTGTGGCCTGGCAACCATTGCTCTGGGAGGTTTCCCGTCGAAAATGCGGAGCGCGGGCACAAGGACGCGTTTGGGTCTGATGGAGCGTCGCAGGACACCCAGATGGCAACGCAAATTCCCTTCCTGCCGGTGTCCGACATGCTGGAGCTGGTGGGCTTGTCTGACAGCAGCAAGATACAACTGATCAAAATCGACACTGAAGGAAATGAACTTCAGATACTGGAAGCTATGCTGCCGCTTCTTCAATCTTGGCAGATTTCGAACATGGTGGTGGAGGTGACTCCGATGTGGTGGCACCACACGGGATACTCCAGGAACGAGGGAGCTGAGATCTTCGAGGGCATTGCTGCCTTGGGCTTTGCTGGGAGCACGATCCGGGGGCACAGCGTGCAAGACGCCACAGCCATGCGCGACTATATTCTGCACGGACACATCTATCAGGACGACCTGTGGCTTCGGCGAGAGGCTCTCGATTGGAGTGGTGCTGGCAACACTTCGAAGCAGCTTGTCTTCGCCAGAAACAGTAGCACTCTTGAACCCACGCTCTTTGGCACCAGCACGCAGCGTCCGCTTGCAGCTAGCTCCTTCTCAGCTGGAGGGAGCGACGGTTTCGGCAAGACTGCCAAAACCTTGTTTGCTCCGGAGCCGCAAGAAGTACCAGCAAATGCTGCGAGGCACGACGTGAGCGAACTCATCCGACACCATGGCCAGCGCGTGGATGGTGCGAGCTCACATTTCACCATGTTTGACATCAACGGCGGCATGTTTGGTTGGCTGAAGGGGAAAGGCGAACAGTTTGTACAGGACATCTTCCACGAGACGCTTAATCCTGTCTGTCAGGTGGACATGTCGCCGGGCGAAGCGTGGGAGAAGGCTGTCGTTCTAGACATTGGGTCCAACACCGGCTTCTACGGCTTGCTTGCACTGGCGAAGGGCTGTGCTGTTGTTTTCGTGGAGCCGCAGCCAGAGTGCAACGTTTTAATCTCGCAGTCCATCCGTGAAAGTGGCTTGGATGAGCGGAAGGTAAGGCGCGTGCAACAGCCGGTGGGTCGACAGGAGGAGTGGGGCAAATCTCTGGCGGTGTGGCCTGGCAACCATTGCTCTGGGAGGTTTCCCGTCGAAAATGCGGAGCGCGGGCACAAGGACGCGTTTGGGTCTGATGGAGCGTCGCAGGACACCCAGATGGCAACGCAAATTCCCTTCCTGCCGGTGTCCGACATGCTGGAGCTGGTGGGCTTGTCTGACAGCAGCAAGATACAACTGATCAAAATCGACACTGAAGGAAATGAACTTCAGATACTGGAAGCTATGCTGCCGCTTCTTCAATCTTGGCAGATTTCGAACATGGTGGTGGAGGTGACTCCGATGTGGTGGCACCACACGGGATACTCCAGGAACGAGGGAGCTGAGATCTTCGAGGGCATTGCTGCCTTGGGCTTTGCTGGGAGCACGATCCGGGGGCACAGCGTACAGGACGCCACAGCCATGCGCGACTATATTCTGCGCGGACACATCTATCAGGACGACTTGTGGCTTCGGCGAGACAGCACTTCGAAACAGCTTGTCTTCTCCAGAGACAGTAGCACTCTTGAACCCACGCTCTTTGGCACCAGCACGCAGCGTCCGCTTGCAGCTAGCTCCTTCTCAGCTGGAGGGAGCGACGGTTTCGGCAAGACTGCCAAAACCTTGTTTGCTCCGGAGCCGCAAGAAGTACCAGCAAATGCTGCGAGGCACGACGTGAGCGAACTCATCCGACACCATGGCCAGCGCGTGGATGGTGCGAGCTCACATGTCACCATGTTTGACATCAACGGCGGCATGTTTGGTTGGCTGAAGGGGAAAGGCGAACAGTTTGTACAGGACATCTTCCACGAGACGCTTGATCCCGTCTGTCAGGTGGACATGTCGCCGGGCGAAGCATGGGAGAAGGCTGTCGTTCTAGACATTGGGTCCAACACCGGCTTCTACGGCTTGCTTGCACTGGCGAAGGGCTGTGCTGTTGTTTTCGTGGAGCCGCAGCCAGAGTGCAACGTTTTAATCTCGCAGTCCATCCGTGAAAGTGGCTTGGATGAGCGGAAGGTAAGGCGCGTGCAACAGCCGGTGGGTCGACAGGAGGAGTGGGGCAAATCTCTGGCGGTGTGGCCTGGCAACCATTGCTCTGGGAGGTTTCCCGTCGAAAATGCGGAGCGCGGGCACAAGGACGCGTTTGGGTCTGATGGAGCGTCGCAGGACACCCAGATGGCAACGCAAATTCCCTTCCTGCCGGTGTCCGACATGCTGGAGCTGGTGGGCTTGTCTGACAGCAGCAAGATACAACTGATCAAAGTCGACACTGAAGGAAATGAACTTCAGATACTGGAAGCTATGCTGCCGCTTCTTCAATCTTGGCAGATTTCGAACATGGTGGTGGAGGTGACTCCGATGTGGTGGCACCACACGGGATACTCCAGGAACGAGGGAGCTGAGATCTTCGAGGGCATTGCTGCCTTGGGCTTTGCTGGGAGCACGATCCGGGGGCACAGCGTACAGGACGCCACAGCCATGCGCGACTATATTCTGCGCGGACACATCTATCAGGACGACCTGTGGCTGTGGCGAAAATGGATCTGAACTGGTCTTCGCCCAAGAGCCTAATAATTAAACCCCATGAGCCCATCAAGCTAAGATTTGAGCGTCAGTCGGAGTAGGAGCACAGTCGGAGCTTCACTGAATCAGGTTGCCGAGGATGCGCAGCACGAAGCGTCGGCCTGAGAGTGGCCCTGGGGACCGTCAGATAGGCAGGGTTTAGGGCTAAGGGCTTAAGGGGCTTGCTTAGGGCTCTTAGGGTTTAAGTAGGGTGTAGGGCTAAGTGATACGTAAGGGTTTAGGGTTCCAGATGGTTCTGCTTGGGTTTGAGGGCTTGCGAGCCGTGCAGTGACCCTCTCCGAGGAGTGCAAGAAGACAAACTACACAGCGGGGCTGCTGCAGAAGGCTGCCCTGCTTGCACCTCCTGTTTTTTTTCCTCTCCGTGATGGACACGAGAAGGAGGGGTTGTTGTTTTTTTGGTTCAGGACGGGCTATATGGAAGAGCACGAGAAAGTACCCCCCCCCCACGGTAGCTGACTGTGCATGTCTCGCAGTCGCCAGGTGCGCGAGCTGAGGGAAGGAATACGCCAGTTTGGTGCCGGCAATGGTGGCTCGTGAACAGCCTCTGCTGCCGAACTCTCTGCAGGGACGGGCAGATTGCTTTTATGCTCTGCAGTGAGCATAGAGCTGCATACAATCATAGAGCAAATTGCGGGGATTTGTGGAGTCTGCCACGTTTTGTTTGGCAAATAAACATTTTCTGATCATTGACTGGAGTTTCCACACCTGAAGCGATGCAAGAACCTGCTTCAAAGTGAAGGGTGCCTGGACTCGTCGAAGCGTGTTCCCACATCTGCCCCAAGCATGGCAGGGCAGCAATTGTTGCCTCATTTGAGTCGCGTTTCTGAAAGCTCCGAGTACCAGCCCTGGGTGGAACAGGGTATGCTACCAGCTACTTGGAAAAGGTGAGTAACCTGTGGTACTTGGGGACTCCAGGGGCAGATGTGCTGTACAGTTCGCATGCTCAGCCACAGACAGTACAGTTCCCTTAGTACTGCACCTGAGCTACTGAGTATACTGACTCCATGTCCAGGCTTGCCCACGCCTGACGCCTGAGAGCCATACATCATCCTACAGCTGTCATGCAGATTCCGTGACGTTCCCAAGCCACTCAATCACCGGAGATGCATGTTGCTTGTGTTTCCTTGGGCCTGGGCTGAAGCAGGAGCCGCACAGAAATTCATGTGCGGCACAGCAGTCGCCGGACTACAGCCGTTTCAAAAATGTGTGGGCGCATGTGGGAATGCCAACGAACATGCGTTGTAATGTTGTGCAAGTAGTTCTATTTCTTTCCGGCCCGATGCTTTCATTGGTTCATTTGCTTGCATCAAGTCTTCAGAATTCAGACACTCCAAGCAAGCCGCCGCAATTTGCGTTTGTAGACCTCGCCCCTTTGTCTTTCCTGTCCTTGCGTGTGGCCTTCACAGGAGATGCTGCTGCGGGCATTGAACTTCTGCAGTGCAGACCAAATCAAGGCCGTGTGGCCAGGGACGCAGTCACCAGCAACTGCGATATCTCCGACATCTTCGGATTTCGCGTTTACCCATAACAAGAACCCCCCGCTAGGTTGCAGTGCTTGCAAGGGCGCTTAAGTTTGAAGGAGGCTTCTCCTCTCCCCCCGACCTGCAGATCCCCCGTACGATGCTGCCATATGCTGCGTGCAGGTGACTCTGGAGAGTGCCGGTACGGTCTTGGCAGAGGAGGGATTTCATGGCTTTGCATACCTCCACTGGCGCCCCGTTCCCACCACAGCCCTCGAGGCCATGGTTCCGATGAGGGCTGCGCTGCCAGATGTGCCGCGCACCCAGCAGTCTCCCTCTCGGAGAAGCACCCGCTGCTCATCTTGCAGGCCCTCTCAGAGAAGCAGAGCTTCTCTGAAGAATTCTGAAGATGACTGTTCAGTGCAACGCACTCCTTGCTGATTTCGGCACGAAGCGTCCTTTGCTTCGAGCAGTGCTGTAAGGCAGTACACCACATACCGAGTTGTTGAAACCTAGCTACCATGAAGCTGATCTCGTGCCAATTGTGCTGCGATGTCCGAGGCTGCTGGCGTGTGCCGGTTCCGACTCTCAGGTCCAACTCGCTGCGAAGTCTCTGCACAAGAGTCGCACGTGGCGTCTGCTTGGCATTGACAGGTGGATGAGGCACAGCTTCTCTCCTCGAAGGCCAGTGATGTGCAGAGGTCTCGATTTTGTCATTTTTTACACCTAACAATCATTGATGAAGCTGTGGAGGGCGAATGCAATTGCAAGCCCGTGCTAGGGGATTCCGTGAGTGGCCGCCTGAATCAATGTGGGCGATGGGAATGCCTAAAGGTGTGGCCGCCGCGGCACCGGGCGGTCTTGCGGCCGACGGGCACGGCGCTCGTTGAACGGGCCGCGCTTTAGCTCCAAGCTTTGTTCGTTGGGTATTCGCCGATTATTCGCCGATTATTCATGACTATTCCTCGTGAGTACTTGAGCTGGAAAGCGGCCAAATTTCCGCCGATCGTACTGGCAGCCCAGAAAACTGTTGGTTCATCTCTTAACCTTGGTGTGGTTCGAGAGTCATAAATGCTGCTTACACTGCTTCCTGCACAGCCATGTTTCGCATGTTTACGCCGCACATTCTGGCAATCGGGTGTCCTTTGTGACATCGAGGCCTGGAGGACTTCAGCGCGCCAGGCAAAGGGGGAGGATGGCAAAGTGGACTTGCCTGGTAAAAGCCTGTCATATGTAGTGGTGGTGGTGGTGGTGGTGGTGGTGGTCGTCGTCGTCCTCGTCCTCGTCCTCGTCCTCGTCCTCGTCCTCGTCCGCGTCCTCGTCCTCGTCCTCGTCCTCGTCCTCGTCCTCGTCCTCGTCGTCGTCCTCGTCGTCGTCCTCGTGCTCCTCGTCGTCGTCCTCGTGCTCCTCGTCGTCGTCCTCGTGCTCCTCGTCGTCGTCGTCGTCGTCGTCGTCGTCGTCGTCGTCCTCGTCGTCGTCCTCGTCGTCGTCCTCGTCGTCGTCCTCGTCGTCGTCCTCCTCGTCGTCCTCGTCGTCGTCCTCGTCGTCGTCCTCCTCGTCGTCCTCCTCGTCGTCGTCGTCGTCGTCCTCGTCGTCCTCGTCGTCCTCGTCGTCCTCGTCGTCCTCGTCGTCCTCGTCGTCCTCCTCGTCGTCGTCGTCCTCCTCGTCGTCGGCGGCGGCGTCGGTGTCTCCGTCGGTCGTCCGGTCGTCTCGTCGTCACGTCGTCTCGCAGTCCCGTCGTCTGTCGTCCGGTCGTCCATTCGTTCCGGTCGTCTGGTCGCCCGGTGCGCGTCAGCAGCAGTAGCAGGAGCAGTAGCAGGAGAAGTAGTGGGAGCATTAGCAGGACCACTAGCAGGAGCAGTAGCAGTAGCAGCTGTTGTTGTTGTTGTTGTTGTTGTTGTTGTTGATGATGTTGTTGTCTAGATGCTGTCCGTGAACTTGCGGAGGCGTTGTCGGCGTGCCCTCGCAGCTTCCATACGTCGAGTTCGAGTTGCTTCAGTTGGTCGATGGCTCTTTGCCTGCTTCCTTGGGGAGCAAGCCTCTGCTTCTGGCACTGGAGAACAAGCAGGACACAGAACAAGCACAGGGCATCATTGCAAAAAGCAGGGAGCTTTTGTGTACGCGTTTTCTGGTTCGGACACCCAGGGCCATGCACAGGGTCCCTGAAATCCCCAATCGCCTACCTGCTGCTTTAAGCAGCAAGTGTTGTGGGACGAAAAAGGCACAAAGCCCCTCGGATGGACGGATCGCACTGATCGCACCATTGAGGATTTTCTTACGTGAGCAGCGTGTAGGAACGCAATTTTCGGGTTAAGACTGTTCTGCTCTCCCGTGTGCCGTGAAGCTGAACCGCTTGTTCACATTCTTGTTGTGTGCTGTGAACATGCCAAACTCAAAGAAACATGTCGTGTCAATGACTTGCCATCCTGCCGACTGCCTTGCAGTAAGGATGAAGAGTGTGCATCGGAAGCATGATTCGAGCCTCGAGGGTTGCACACAGCTTCCGGAAAGCATCATTCAGCCTTTCAGCCGGGATGAAGCGCTGCACAGCCTGCGGAAGGAAACCTATAGCGGTGCAGGCGGCCAACGCTCCCTCCCATCCCATGCGACTCGTATCTTCGTTTGAAGCAATGCCTCGTCCCCCGGCTGGAAGATCTGCAGTGGCACACCTCAATGTTGCGCCGTTCAGGAGCAGCTCGTGCGGGGGTGCTGCCGGCAAGTCGACAGAGGTTGTTTTGTAGACCGACGGAGGTGTCCCCAAGTAGATGCTTTGTGAGCTTCCACGACACATTTGCCTTCGTGGGATAGCTGCTGAACGCTTTTCCGAAACCTGTATTGGGTTCCTGCCAGGTACCTGTCTTTCGACTACGTTGAAAGGCTCAGCCTTCAGGAGCAGGACGATGTGCTCGAAACATTGAAGCGAAGAGAAGAGCATTCTTTCAACGGTGCTCGTGTGCTCAACCTACAGCTGTGAGCTTCGCAGCCCACTCGTTCAGGCACTCTGTGTGACAGCTGCTATTCAGCAGTCACCCTTCATGCTCCTGCAGCTGCTGGATCAGATCCAGCCTTCTCATGAGGCTGGGGGAGAGTCTGTAATCCTGACGGCTGCTGGGCACGTGTTAGATTGCTGTTAGATTGCTTGAAGCCTTACAGCCAGCCCAGCCTCGCCACTCGAGCGGTCCCGGTCGAGCGTGGCGACAGAATTTTAGAGTACCTGTCGTGCCGCCGCGCCAGCAGCCTGAAGACAGCCTAGAATCAGTTCTGATCCTCCAACCTCCTCAGAGCCCCCCTAATCGACAAAGCAAGATGAATGTCTTGTTCGCAGCACCTCCTCCTGGCCATCCGCCTCGGACAAGACCACCTCATCGAGCCAATCCTGCAGGCTGAGGAAGTTAGGGTTTCTAGACGTTTCCAGATGTTTCTAGATGTTGCTAGATGTTTTCTAGAGGTTCAGATGGGTTCAGGGTTCAGGGTTTAGACTGGTTTCTGGGATTCTGGGAGGCATGTCCACACGAAGCCGCAACGCTCCTGAGGCTGGAGGTCTCTCGCTGATGCGCTCGCCAGGGGCTCAGTTGGGGCCAGACTGGGGCGCAGGTCCAGCCATGGCAAGGCTTCCTTGTGCCGTTTGGGGTTTAGGGGTTGAGGGTTTAGGGTTTAGGGGTTTAGGGGTTTAGGGGTTTAGGGGTTTAGGGGTTTAGGGGTTTAGGGGTTTAGGGGTTTAGGGGTTTAGGGGTTTAGGTGTTTAGGTGTTTAGGGGTTTAGGGGTTTAGGGGTTTAGGGGTTTAGGGGTTTAGGGGTTTAGGGGTTTAGGTGTTTAGGGGTTTAGGGGTTTAGGGGTTTAGGGGTTTAGGGGTTTAGGGGTTTAGGGGTTTAGGGGTTTAGGGGTTTAGGGGTTTAGGGGTTTAGGGGTTTAGGGGTTTAGGGGTTTAGGGGTTTAGGGGTTTAGGGTTTAGGGTTTGGTTTAGGGTTTAGGGTTTAGGGTTTAGGGTTTAGGGTTTAGGGTTTAGGATTTAGGATTTAGGGTTTATCCATGAGAGCATCATCATGTATTAGGGGTGCTGCTGGGCGATTAGGTCAATCCCAAGAAAGTCGTTTTGCAGCAGTTCAAGACTGGACCTTTGCAGACGCAGCTGCTCCGTGTTTCTCTTTGTTTCAGGAAGAATCAGTGGCGCCGTGCCAGAGGCTCGCCACCCTGTTGCGAATGATTCGACATGCTAGATGACTAGCTCAATCACACCCATCGCAGCACTCCATGCTTGATTCAATCTGTCTGCCAGTCTGCCGCATTGAAGCAACAAACGCTTGTCTGACTTCTTGTGAAAGGCTCACTGCAGTCACGAGAAAGAACAGCCTCAAGCGACACACAAATTCCGAGCCCACACCTTGCCGAATAGCCGCCACTGACTAGGCCAGCATGAAGCAGAACCCCGACTTGAACAGCGAGCAACTCTAGCACTTTCGATATGGCGATGTTTCAGCGATTGCCAAATCTAAGCGGTCTGCACCGCTTCGCCTGGACGGGAAGCCGAAGCTTGAAGACGCCTCCTGGCACACTGGAGATCGCCAAAATGAGCTTGATTTATTGCTTCCGGGTGGGCAGTTTGCAACACTTGCCTTTCAGGTTCCCCCAGATCAACCCGCAGACTTCCGAGACGTTCAAAGTGTACGAAGAGATGAGCCTTGCCTGCAAGGTTTTCATTTCACTGGCGTCAGTGAGCTGTCGTTGACTGAGGACGGGTGCAGAAGTGCAGCAGATTCTCGCAAGCGCCACCACCGCTCAGCAGGCGGCATCTATATGGCTCCCGTCCATCGTGCATCTGCCATGCCCTCTCCAGAATCCACCGCACCTCCCCGAAACATTCCCCGAAACATTCCCCGAGACTTTCCTCAACTTCCGCCACAAAGGCCTGGCGGCGCCGCCCTGCCTCGGAGCGGGTCGCGGCATTCGCGCCGCTGGGGGAGGCGCTGCGCAGCCGCGCGGAGGAGGCCCAGATGGTGGCGGGCCGGGGGGAGGGGGGAGGAGACCCGGAGGAGGGGGGTTCGGAAGTTCGAAGAGTTCGAGGAGTTCGTGGAGTTCGGGGTTGTGTACGACGATTGCCATTGCAAAGGTTTTCATTCGTCCATGGAGCCAGCAAGGGCTCGGAAAGCTTTGGCGATGTTGTTTCGTTTGTTGAAGGTGCGGGTGCTTCGGACATTTTCATCTGGTAAATCTCATGCAACGCCTCAGTCCTCGTTTCCAGGTCGCAGATCTCGTCTGCCAAGAGATGGGGAAGCCTGTAGCGCAAGGAAAGGCAGAGGTGCTGAAGTGTGCATACCTGGCGACCTGGCAAGTTGTGGACCATGTTCCCGGTTCTCATACGACTCTTTCGCATTCGTGGATTTTCTCTCGCCTGCATCGACCCAGGTCGACTGGTATGTAGAGAACGGTGCGAAGTTCTTGGAAGACACGGAGTATCCGGCGCTTCCAGGTTTCAAGAAGTCGTTCGTGACCTACCAGCCACTGGGTCCGGTGCTCAGTTGGAGCGAATTCGCCTTAAGGGAAGAGGGGCTTTTGGGATGTCTGATGCAGCTGAGATCAGCTGAGGCACTGTGCTGTCGGTCATGCCCTGGAACTTCCCAATCTGGCAAGTCATCCGTATGGGGATACCAACCCTCATGGCCGGCAACGCGGTGCTTCTGAAGCACGCGCCAAATTGCTTTGGCAGCGGCCTGGTCTGTGAGGAGCTGTTGGCCAAGCTGGACATCCCGGATGGCCTCTTCCGATCCCTGCTGATTGATGTACCGCAAGTGTCAACTGTTCTGGAGCACCCTTCCGTGCAAGGAGATCTCAAAAAGTGTCAGGTTTTGTGCGCGTGTGCCGAATGTGCGTTAAATAGGTTGCTGAGCAGGTTGTGACAAGGTGCGGTAATTTCTTTCAGGTTCGTCTTAATTTCTTCCCCCTAACATGAAAAGCCCCCCGTATAAAAACCCCCCCAAAACCCCCAAAGGGTTGTTGTTAAAAGGGGGGTGCTGATCGTTTGTCCGAACAATTACAGCTCAGTTATACAGCTCCTTTACAGCTTCGATGCACCTCCGTTACAGCTACAGCTCCGTTACAGTTCCGTTGCAGGTCCGTTACAGGTCCGTTATCAAGTTGCTGCTTCTGCTACGGCTCCGTTACAGCTTCCGTTACAGCATCGCTACAGCCGGTAGCGCTCCGTTGCAGCCTTCCGATACGGCTCCGTTACAGCTCCGCTCCTTTCCGTTACAGTTTCTGTTACAAGCCCCGTTACCGGCGGGCATTTCTGTCATAGTAGAGGCCTGCAAATGATGGTAGAGTCCCGCCCCAACCTAATAAGTTTCAGGCTTCCCTGCCCCCTAATTCTGTAGAGATATCAAAAGGGGCGACTGCCGGACCGGGTTTTTCGGCCAGCGGTTTTTTTTATACTAGGGGTGTTTTTTTATTAGGGGGAAGGGATGAGCGTAGGCGTGGCTGCTTCTTTCCTGCGCGAAGGAGTGGCGCTGACAGGCTCCGAAGGCGCGGGCCGGGCGGTGGCAGCCAAGGCCGGTGGTTTGCTGAAGAAGGCGGTCATCGAGCTTGGGGGCAGCGATGCCTACGCGGTCCTGGCAGATGCAGACCTGGACCTAGCGGCGGAGGCGGTGGTTAATGCGCGTGTCGCCAACTCGGGTCAGACCCTGGGCGTTGCTTTAGAATTTGAGAGGACTGCTGGGATCTGAGAGTCGTTTCGCGTGCCGGCTAAGCAAGATGAAACAAGGACATGCATCGCCCCGAAGAGGGCTATTGTGGACAAGCGCGTCAAGGCTGCCTTTGAGCAGAAGGTTTTAGAAAAGGTGGCCTTGAAGAGACTTGCCGAGATTCTCAGTTTTTGGGTTTTTTGGATACCAAAATAAGAAACACCACAGACCGGAATCATACATTGGGCTGGAGTCCGGCACTGTCACGAATGCTCTCGTAGGATGGACTTCACTCGCGTCGGCAAAGAGAAAATACCTCCCGTCTCGACCTTCTAAGCCCTAAGCCCTAACCCCCAAGCCCAAAGCCCAAAGCCCTAAGCCCAAAGCCCTAAGCCCTAAGCCCTAAGCCCCCTTTGGTCGAGGAAGTATGGCGTCGACTTCGGACCCTTGGTGCACCCCAAGGGCCGAGATGATGTGGCGGCACAAGTGGCCGAGACTCAAGCACAGGGTGCCAGGCGTCCTCCTGAGATCTCGTCCGCTGTCCAGCATGTGCTGCGCATTTTCCGCCTGGTGCGAATTCTTGGATTGGGGTGGGACCACTGAGGGTTCTGGAAACACATGCCGTGCTGCAGGGGGGTTGAGGGTGGGAGTGAGCAGAGCACATGAGAGCATGCGGAGGCTCAAGCGCTGACGCCGGCTGACGTATGTGGGGGCCATCCAAAATCCCAGGAATGTCTTTGCTGAATAGAAATGGATATTTCGCAACATATGGGGTACCTTTTTTACCCCGAATAGTATAGAATCCCTTAAAGGGACCCCCCCAAAAGGGTACCTAACTTGGGCCTGGGGGCCTCAGGCTTCAAGAACAGCCTGCAAAGCATCGGAGGGCTGCGAAAAGGGGGCTTTGCCAACTACTCTAACGCTTGGTGAGCCTAATGTGATCGCTTGATTCTTGTCAGGATAGGAGCTGGAGTTGTGGGTTTTTGGCTGCTGTGCGCGGAAAATGGCCGAAAGGACCGCGAAAAGGCGGCGATGGTTGGGCTAATCAGGGAATCTGGTATTGGTCTTCAACGACTTTATGAGCAGCCCCCTCATCGACAGACTGGGGGAGTTCAGCAACGTAGGCGCCCAATGGGTTACTGGGTTTCCAAGCAGGACCCCATTCGATTCTTCCTTCCACCTTACGCCTGCCCTTACGGGTCCTCGGTGTGCCGGTCCATCTTTTGTCTGACGATGCTCATGACGCTTGCCTGCGTGGCCGTCCAGAACCTCACTAAATCCTTGGGCTTCAGTTGACCTCCTGAACACAGACGCCATGCAAACTTCCGAGCTGGTACAAGAGGCATCCTGAATCCTCGGGCGTTTGATCCAACTTGTATCCACTTGCTTCCTCTTGAAAAGCGACAAAACAAACCCGGGCCTCGCGTGGTCTCAGAGCTGCGTTTCTCACTTGCCTGTGCTGGCTTTCGTTCGAGCCGTCGAAATGATCCACCCCCAAGACTGTTGGACATCGGCCCCGTGTTGCCAATTTGGGGATCCGGCACGAGCTCTTCACTTCTGATTTCGTGTGATCCTTGTTTTCTGTCGTGGCTTACACGCAGGCTTCTCTGCGGTGGGGCCAGTGAGCCGCCATCGGGCGACTGCAAGTCCTTCTACCCACCCACTGTGCTGACGGACGTGAAGCCAGGCATGGAAAAGGGGGTTCCTGGGTTCCTCTCACTAGGTTTAGGGTTTAGGGTGTTAAGTGGCAAGTACTCTGTTGTTGCACTATTTTAGCAATCGTTCCCTGGAAAACAGGCATGACGGCCTTTGAGACGGAGATCTTTGGTCCTGTCATTGCCATCATTGAGGCACCAGTTCCTGCATACCTTTCCCATCCCAACTCCAAAAGATAGAGACCGGGGCAATACAGGGCAGGTCGCCTGCAACATCAGCAAAGGCCGAGGATGAGGAGGACGTCCTGCGGCTCTCGAATCAAACAAGCTATGGCCTGGCAGGGGCTGTGTGCTCTGTCTGAATTATTGAGGTAGCCGTCGCTTGGGCTCAGGGCTTCAGGGCTCAGGGCCAACAAGCCAGTCATCTCCACCTCCAAGCACATTCATGAGCATGCTCTCAGCAACGTTGTAACTCTGCCTGAAGTGCTTTGCGGGTGCACAACTTGCACCAAGGTTCACACAAGATGTGGCGAAGGCTGGCAGCGTGCGCAGCACGCATCCACACGCATCAGTGCGGACAGTGCAGGTCTTTGGTCAGAGAGGGTCAGAGTCACTAGCTTGGAAGCTAAAGCTTGACAGTGGCTTGGCAGGGCGAGCGGCTGGCCGTGAGCGAAATAGACGCAGGCATGTGCTTCGTGAACGATTTCGTCCGCTCCGACCCGTCCTTGCCATTTGGCGGCGTCAAGAACTCCGGCTTGGGCCGAGAGTGCGCTGCTTTTGGCATGCTGGAGTTCGTGAATGTGAAGACCATCTGCGTAAAGTGATGGCAGTGAGATGTCGAAAGTCTCTGATCTCTAACTCAGCACACAGAAGCGTAGAGGCATCCTCATCTTTTCATACTTTTGGCCTTTACAACAAACGGGGAAGGCAAGTGAAGTGTTTTCCTGTTTGGGTTAACTGCGCTAGTCGAGGGTTTCGGAGGTCGTTTCCTAGCCTGAAATGGGGTACGCTTATGGGTTGCGCGGTTCACCCAGAAAAAGACACAGCCCACCCTCCCCCACAAGACAAGGGCTTGCTAGGCAAAGAGTCCAAAGCTCCGAGCCACTTATGTACAGCTTTGCAGCACTGCTCTGCCTGAGCAAGGGCTCATGGCAACTCGGAAGCTTGGTCGTCTCTTGTGCTTTGCGAATTGCTTCCCAATCATGCGCATGGGAGCGGCTCCTGGTGACAAGAGCTCTGCTGGAAATCATGGTGGTAAGACAATTCTTGATGCTGCAGTTTGCTTAGATCTCTGCTTTTGCTGGGTTTCATCCATCCTTCCTAGCAGGTGGACAAGGACGAGGGCGGCCTGCCTCAGTCTCAGAGTCTTCGCGAGCCTGTCTGCAGTATGGGGTTTGCGAGACTAGGGGTACCCTTTTTGGGGGGTCCCTTTAAGGGGGATTCTATTCTATTAGGGGGTGTATTAGAGGTGCCCCCTACTTTGGGAAATGCTCATATCTTTGACCCTTCAAACTCGAAGGATGGTTTTTGTCAGCCCATGTAGAGCTCCAACTTGCCTTCACGGTTGTGCTCTAAGGCAGAGGATAGCCGATCGCGGGGACCTCATGCACTACCACCTTGAAAACTTGCACGTGTAGTTGTTGGAAGCCATCGTTGCATGTCTTTGGCACTCATGCCCAGAAATGCTGCACTGACGGTACTTCTTGGGGAATGCTGCAGGTGTGTTGACCTGTCTTCAGCACGTCACCACTGCACTCGTACATGACCCCCGCAAGAGAACGCAGTTGCCCCGAGCAGTGTGGAGGTCTCAACGCTCAGAAGCTGGTCCTGCAGAAGGTTGGTCGTCACAGGGAGGGAACATCTTTTTCCTATTTCCCCTAGTGTTTAGTAGACTGCTTCTTTCGCTGGGGTGCAAAGTTCGAAAGGCATCTGGAAAGGATTAGGGGTGCAGGCAGCTGGAAGTACGCGTGTTTGCCGTGAATCCCGGAGTTGCAATATGTTGAGACGCTGGCTTGCGGTCCTCTACGATCCTCTACTGCGCAGAGTATAAAACACCCCAAAGATTCCTACAGTACCAGAGCTCCGCAGGTGTCCCGCGGACCAGGACTTGGGCCCTTGTGTTTGGATATCATTTCGGGTATCTTTGGGGCTGTGCAGATGCAACTTCCTGGATTCGATGGCCCTTCTTGCCCAGTGATTTGGCCCGCTCGGCAGGAATGAGCGGCAGCTCACGAGCCACTGGCTTCTTTGGTGGGTTTTTGGGGTTTAGTTCAGGCATCATATTCCTCATCTTCTGAGGGTAGTAGCAAGACAGTACCATCGTCCTCATGCCAGCAGAATAGGAGCCCCATGCCGGTTTTGGTAGCACGCTGCTCTAGAGGTACTGCATTTGGCAACGAATACGTGGAAATTGCAGAGTCAATCAGCAAGACGCCCTAAACTTCGTGCCACCCACTCGGCTTTGCAGCCACCTACTGCAAAGCTCAAAGATTATTGCGAGGCTGCTTCAGATGAGCTTCGAACATGCTGAAACGATTCTCCACTCCAGAAGAGTTAGAGTTAGAGAATTCGATTTGCCAGCCTGTGCAACGTACACGCTCCTAGCCACATAGGTTGCCAGGCACGCGTTGACAAGCTTGCAAAGCAGAGTAGCGAAGGATTCTCAGATGTCTTGTGTAAAGCTGTGAGAGTTATGCCCTCGCTACCATAGTTTATCTGCCAAGCCTCACCCGAAATACGCCGGTTAAGGTACACCTAGTTTATATCTGCTGATTCCTGGTTCCCCTTGGTTACGGTCCAAGAGGTTATGAGTCCATGCCCTACGCACTAGACGGGCTTTATCGCCGCCGCAACAGTAGCCGGCAAAGTGAAAGTCTCTACATGTGTATGTTTATATGCACGCACACACACCCACACAAATTCGACATCAGAGTGTGCCATATGTCGGGGGCGGGAAGGCCCTTTGGTGCTAGCCAGGCCTCTTGCGTTGGCCGCCGCTCTGGGACACGTGGGCTGTGTGCAGGCGGAGATGCTCAAGGGGTTTCGGGGCTTATACTAGTAGGGGCCAAGGGCTCGCGGTAGGGTTGGATAATGCTGGATGATTCAAAGAGGTGTCTCGCATGCGACTGTGGAGACTTGAAGCAACATGTTTACAGACGATTTGCCTGCAGGCCCTCTGTCAGTGGGCACGGCGCCAGCTCGACACTCAGAGCGCCAAGTTCGCAATGTTGGTGGAAAGCTTGGGATGCGTGCCGGCTGGTGACCCAAGCTCCCCTCCAAAAAGACGACAAACACCAAGCATTTGTTGGGTTCTGGTCAATCCTCGCAGCGCTGAAGGCGGCTGCAGGTGGACCCTAGTGGCCCCTACGTCACAATGCGCGGCGGCCTGAGTTACAGTTTCTGGGGGTTCTATAGAGTTTAGGGTTGTTTAGGGTTTAGGCTTAGGGTTTAGGAGGTTCACGGGACGCCTGCTTCCATCTGTGTTGCTGGTGCCTGCTGCAGTTAGCCTGGGCCGCCGCGACTCCGTCGCAACATCTGTGCCGATGCCTTGGCGAGACCACGGTGCAGGAAGAGTTTAATTCAGCGATCCCATGGTCTCCCTTACTAGAGTATGAGTACTGTTCCATCAGATCATATACCATGATGCTTGTGCCTGAGGTGGGAGGATCTTGATTCAGCTACGTTGGGTGATCCGCCCATGGCTGCACTCTCAGACCTGGAAAGGCCTCTTGCTACGAGCAGCTTCTCCACGCTTCTCTGTCAAGGTCATGGCTGTGAGGGGGCAAGGTGAGCTTGAAGAGCCTGCCTGCCATGATTGCGTGTACTGGACTCGACGTTGATGGGTTGCTAAATTGTTGGGGACTACTGACATCTGATGAGAAGCATCCGGATCTTGTCAGGAAGCTAGAGATCATCTCGATTCTGTGCCAGCACAACTTCCCAGCGCAGCTCTCAAGCTCGCTCGGCGATGCTTCTTCTGGCGTTTTTTCACAAAGCAAATGCAGTTGGCCCACTGTAACCGTCTGCCGCCACACCATCAGATCATCACCCTGGCAGGGTGATTCGTAGTTTCCTGCCGAAGTCAACATGAAGACCTTGTGCTCGAGGTGGATACCCGGAGTCCGGCTGACAGCTGGACTCCTCTCCTGGCGGTCCCCCGGGCCACATCTTAAGCTCGATCTCGACAATCTTGAACATCTTGTCATGACCCCGTTGCCAGGCAGTGGAGCGTGGTTCTACTGAGCTAGTGGAGGCTCTGGTGGCGCAGGTCCCTGGCAAACATGATCCCGTCAATGTCGAAACCTCCAAATTCCCTTCCATGCACACCCGGTGTCCATCAGGGCGCCCGCAGCTCGCCGGACAGTCTTCTCGGCTTCTTGGCTCAAACGCGTATGTGGCTACTTATTAAGGGGATTCTTTGGTCAAGTGTGCCTTGAAAGCCCTTCACGAACTCAATCCACGTATACAGTTCTGTAAGCCTGGGGAGTGTGCTGCCAGGGAACCACTGAGGCTTCACCCCGCTACATCTGGCCTGTCAGATGGGGCACTGGCATCTCATACCGTGCTTGGCCACGGCCCAAGAGAGTGCAACATTCCTCGAAACCATTCGACTCGAAATAGCCCAAGTGACAAGTTTTGTGGTGCGACTGCAGCGATTGTCTTGTGTGTACTTCACGTCGGTTTGCACTCGACCGGGCCAATCGAATGCACATGCATGGATATGTATATATATATATATGTATACATACATATGGCCCCCCTCCAGATCTAGGTCTTTCATCTTGGCCATTTAGAGCCCGTCGTAAGTCCCGACAATGTTTTTCGGCAGCTGTTCAATGTGAAAAGCATTAGAAATATGAAGCGTGTATTCGTCCTTCAGAGTGCACTAGATGATAAAGTTTCGAGACACAAGGCGTGAAAATGCTGTCTAGTGAATACTCTGCTGGTTTAAGGAGATGCTCAAAAAAACAACTTTAGCACAAGACTTAAGAGGGAAAAAACCAAAAAATCCAAACTTCAAAGCAACGAAGCCGACAGCTCGTTTTCCCCGAAAGCGTCGCAGCAGAAGGGCTGCAGTTTGAAAAGGTCGTGGTACCAGGGGGCCAGGAGGTGACCCAACAGAGCGTGTTTGGTGTTCGCAAGCGTTTGCGAAACGTTTGCGAAGCGTCTGCGAAGCGTCCGCGAAGCATCCACGAGTGACCTGCAACAGCCGCAGTCTGGTTTGTGCCATGGTCGTAACTGTCGTCACTCTTGGAGTTTGGTTTGGTGTCGTCTTCAAAAGTGCCGACAGTCACGAGAATTCGACATGTGGGTTGCGTTTTCTCAACAATCCGTTTGCAAGAGTGACGACAACACGCGGAGG